GTCCCAGTCAGCTTTAATGTAGTTGTAAGAATTACGATAATAGGTGGATTCTGATAATAAAAAAGAATGAGATAATAGTTTTAGAGAGGTCAAACTGTGATCAGAGGCACCTAAGAGTAAATGTGGAGAAATTGAGCACTGACTAGGATCAGAAACAAGGCATAAGTCAAGAAATGAAGGTTAATGATTCGGGTTGTCTGAAAGGCGAGTTGGAAAGTTGGCTATTTGAGTTTGGGACTGAGAAAGGCAAAAGTTGTGGGCTTTAATGCCTGCAGAGTCACTGACTCTAGAGCCAAGCCATTCTGTGTGATGAACTTTTAAATCACCGACAACAGCAATATTGGGTGATGGATAAAGAGAGAGGACTTGGTCAATATAATCAGAAACAACATCAAGAAGAGTGCAGTCTTGAAATAAAAGAGAGAGCAATATAGAACAAAGAGGTGATAGAGTGATTTGGCGCTAAACAAAAGCACATAAAAGAGTAGTCTGTGGATTTAAACCAAGTTTTCCGACAAATGGGTGAATTCTTACTAATGTAAACGCCCAGGCCAAGCATGTAACTATTGGAATCTTTACGAATTAAAGGAAGATAACTATCAACACTAAGATAACAAGATGAACTCAAATTAGTCTCACAAAGAGCAAATAGGTCAGCTGAACTCAAATTAGTCTCACAAAGAGCAAATAGGTCTGGTGAACTTTGCAAGAGATAAGACTCATCAGAAAAAAAGCTACTTCGAAGACCACAAATTTAGTGATTGATAGGTTTAGCGAACTTGGTGATGAATGTGGTTTTTTGTGTTTTATAGTTTTTGTTAGTTTATCCATTTTTAAAATTGTTAAAGACCTTGACTCGAAACATATATAGTACTCAGTGCACTGTTTATTAGCCCAAGCAATTGCATCATTACTATTAATTAACCCTAAGCCGTAACAATATAGGCTCCAATGTGGCCTTGGCAATGCACACCAAAAATACAAAAAAGGACACCATCCATGCGGAAGATGGAACTGTTAACACTTTGACACCACCCAGCTGTTGATGGAATTAGCCTCTCCGAGAGCTACCACAGAGTTTGGGAAACCTGACTATTTTTCATGTCTTAATTTATTTGATTATCTGAATCTAAAAAACATAATTTTTCGCCCTTGAAAAGACGTTTTTTTGTCTTTATCTTGTCATGAGACATAAATAATGCGCCTTTAAGACGTCTTTGTTAATCAATTAGACCTTAATAACAGAATCGAATCAACTGCCCCTGCCCAAGCTTTTGTAACACTTTTGTAGTTTGTTTTGTAAAAACCATAAACCAAATATTCAAAACAAACTTCCTTGTAGGTTATTAGTTCCATCAAAAAGTGAGATTAGACATGTAAGCAAATTAGACAAAATTAATAATATTCTTATAAAAAAATTTAATTTGCAACAGTGGAAAAATACCGCTGATGTTTTAAATTGGTTCTCCATAATAGAAAATAAAAATGGCTGTAAATTTATTCAATTTGAAATTAAGGATTTTTACTCCTCAATAACTGCAGATATTTTAGACAAAGCAATTGAGTTTGCAAAAAGCAACACAGTAATTCATGAAGAAACAATTCGTTTAATAATAAATTGCAGAAAAACTGTATTTTGATAAGGAAACTTGGAGAAAAAAAAATTAATGACTGCTTTGACGTAACAATGGACAGTTATGATGGAACAAAAGTGAAGTTGTTTGACTATATATTTTAGATTTATTAAGTAAAATAATCAATATAAATCATTTAGGCCTTATATCGCGACGATGGTTTAATAGTAATGCGTAAAAAATCTGGTCCACAGCTCCATAAAATTTGAAAAAATATTATAAAAAGTTTTTAAAATATTGGCTTTCAAATAGAAATAAACATAAATATAAAAACTGTGAACTTTCTTGACGTAACATTTAACCTTCCTGAAAATTCATATAAGCCTTTCAAAAGACCAAACGATGAATTATTTTATATTAATACTAACTCAAATCATCCGTCACAAATTATAAAACAAACTGCGATTTCAATTAATAACAGGCTAAATCAAAACTCCTCTAATCAAAGTGTATTCAATTCCTCTAAACAAATATTTGAAGATGCCCTTAAAAAAAGTGGTTTTGAAAATTTTGATCTAAATTTTGACCGTGAAAAAAAAATACAAAAAAGCGAAATAGAAATACAAATTTGGTTCAAACCCCATATAGCAAATGTGTTTTTAAAACTACTCGATAAACTCTCCAGTAAATTACATAACTTTTTAATCAAAATACAATTAAAGTTAGCTACAGTTGCACAAAAAATATGGAAAGAGTTATAAAAGGTCACAATTATGCTTTGTTAACAAAAAAGAAATCTTAAATCAAAAAACTACAGAAAAATGTAATTGTAAATAAAAAAAAGAATTGTCCAATGAGTGGAAGTTGTTTATCCAAAAATGTGGTATATTTGTGTGTTGTTTCCTCTAAGAATGTACCTGATAAACAATATATTGGCGTAACGATGGCGTAATGATAACAAAAAAAATGGAAAAATTTGCCAATCATAAGCAATCCTTAAAAAAAAAGTATTCAAAAGACACCATGCTGTCAAAATATAAATGGGAATTAAGAAATAAAAATACTGATGATTTTATAATGAATCGGTCCATCCTTAAAACAGCACCTGCATATGACAATATTTCTAAAAAATGCATACTATGCCTACAAGAAAAAATTTAAAAATATTAACCATGCAAACCAATAATATTATTTAAACAAAAAATCGGATTTAATTTCTAAATGCAGGCACAAAAAAAAGTTTCTCCTAAAAAACTATAAAAATAAGTGGACTCAAATAATACTTACATATTACATGTATTTATATATATATATATATACATTTATATACATATATATATATATACATATATATATATATATACATATATATATATATATATATATATATATATATATATATATATATATATATATATACATATATATATATATATATATATATATATATAAATATATATATATATATATATATATATATATATATATATATATATATATATATATATATATATATATATATATATATATATATATATATATATATATATATATATATATATATATATATATATATATATATATATATATATATATATATATATATATATATGTATGTATATAAATCACATTAAGTATAACAATTCCCAACTTTTTTCTAATTTCTTCGTGTGAAATAACTTTTTGATGTTTAGACATTCTTCCTGATGAACCTACTGATGGTGAAACATGCTGTTGAGTACAAAAATTAAATAAATAAATAAATATATATATATATATATATATATATATATATATATATATATATATATATATATATATATTTATATATATATATATATATATATATTTATATATATGTATATATATATATATATATATATATATATATATATATATATATATATATATATATATATATATATATATATATATATATATATGTATATATATAAGAAAATAATATATATATATATATATAAGAAAATAATGTAAGAAAAGGGTTCTCTTATAAAATACTGAGAAAAAGGGGGAAGGGGGAGAAAATATAAAAATTAAAAATAGCTGAAATAAAATTAATGTTATCAAGTGGCAAGAGGTGCCAAGATGGGTGTGTTAAACAGGCAGGTGGGTGTGTTAAGCAGGCAGGTGGCCGGTGTTATCCAAAAGTCGCTTTTAAACTCAAGTTATACCTTGTAACTTTCATTTGTAAAACTTAAGCCATATCAGATGACTATCATTTCTTTTTCTACTTTCATCTATTACGACATCCATATTTTAAACATGTAAAAGTTTGCCAAATTTTTTTTCTCATAACAGCGACTTTTGCTTATATAAATATTTTTGTTACATCGCAATATTAAACATCACAGCAAATATTTTTTGCGGCTTATATTTTTAAACATTTTTTATTTGCTCGTCTTTCTAAAGTATTTACATCATTGGTTCATATAAAAACAACACAATTTTTTAAAATTTTAAAAAACAAATATGACTGACGTTGTAAAAGAACGTTTAAAAAATGTGCAAATTTTGGTTATAGACGAAATATCAATGTTGCCTGTACACGTGCTAAAAACATTAAATACGATTTTAAAAGACATTAAAAAATCACATCGTCTATTTGGAGGATGCGTGTTGCTCGTTGCCGGAGATTTTTACCAGCTAACGCCTGTTGGCGAGGAAACACTGTTATTCGAAGACCCGTTCAAGAAAGAATGCGAACTTCTTAATGTAGAACCAGTAAAAAACTTTAGACAGAACAAAGACCTCGCCTTTTAAACGCATTTGAACAACGAACGTGAGGGCATCTTTTGCGAATCCACTTTGGCTTTTTTAAGGAAAAGGCTGGAACCTGCCGATAAACATTTGGATCCGAGTTAAACAAGGTTGTTCATGTATAACAAGGATCGGATTGCACACAACGAGGAATATTTAAAAAAAAAAAATTTCCTGATTTTGTATTTAATAGCAAAACAAAAACATTTAATAATTTCAAAATCGATGAAAAATGGCCATTTAAAACACCGCAAACTGTGACTTTAAAAAAACAAGTGCCAGTTATCTGTGTTCGCAACATACCCGACCTAGGTATTGTCAATGGCATGCAAGGCGTTGTAGAATCAGTGAACCAAGAGCGAGTCGTTATGATAGTAGACGAACAACAAATTGAAGTCACACTTCACACCGAAATGTTGTATGACTCAAAAAGAAACGTTTTAGCGGAATGCAAAGGGATGCTGATTGTACTGGCCTACTCACTCACTATGCACAAAGTGCAAGGTCTCACTCTTTCTAATGTAGTTATTCATTTAAATCGAAGTCAATTTATGTGGCATTTGTTTTATGTGGCTTTGTCGAGAGCGCAAACTCGCAAGAGTGTATACATTATTGCTCAGCAATCTTTTTTTCAAACTTTTTTAGAAATACATTCATTTGTAAAAAGTTTTTATTTAAATTTAATTAAACCTACGCCTAAAAAAAATGATTTTAAAAAACGTATTAAATTACAAATATGAATCGTATGTGTTTAAGAATTGTATTTAGATTTTTTTAAAAAATGTTAATTGATATCATAAAAATGTTTATTCTTTTTTAAAAAAACACATTTTTTGTGAATTTTTTATATTTTTAATTTATATATTGCAAGCGTCGTACTTTGCCATTTCTTGATCCAAATTTTCTGCACTCCTTCTATACTGTTAATTACTCTTTCTATACTTATAATTCTTTTTTCTAATATTTTCATTTTCTTCCTTTAATTATTCATTCATTTCCTTCATCATTTCTTAAGCTTCTTTTAATATACTCATTATTATTTTCAATTATTTTTATAAAAGCCTCTTTTTCATTTTCATTCGATATAAAATTTGGTTCTTCTTCAAAAAACTTCTTAAAATCTCTCTCGTGTCTCTCTCTCCAAATTTCTTCCTCTCTCGTCATGTGGTTTCCAAGATCTTTATTATATCCATTATTTTTTATTAGCCTACAACAAAAAAAAGTAATAACTATATCAAATTAACAAAAAAAAATATTATTAAGAAAAAATAATATACAACATTATAACATTAAAAATGATTAATAGGTAGTTTCATTATTGGTACTCATTGCTTCTACGACTAAACAACAACAGCAAAAAAGTTAAATTTTTATTTTTGTTATTGTTTAAGTAAAAGTAAAGTTTGACAACTTTAGAGAAAAAAAACATCTCCTTTTTTTTAGTAAGAATATAACTTGATTTTTTTAAAAGAATATTAACTCATGCGCGAAACTATTGTCTAAGTCATTGCGAAACTATTTTATATGAATATTTTTTCAACGTGAATATTAGGCTGGGAAGGGGAGAAAGAAAAGAAGTAAAAAACCAATAGGCACTCAACCCCGGTTTATCAATAATGGTTTTTAATGAAAAGAAAGAATTGCTAATTGTTAACTCAAACCTTAGATGTAACACCGTGACCTGTTTTACGGGTCGAAACAGCTAATATATATTAAAAGTGGACCAATAATCGATCCTTGGGAGACTGGCAATAGTTAAACAATTATTAGGTGTTTTGATTCAGAAACCATTATTTAATTTGACAGCACAGCAGCGGTTAAATTTGTCAGCACATAGATTTTATTACACTCACCGTTATAACTGCTACTACGTTTAACAAATTTGTTTCTTTATTGTATGAGTATGTTTAGTAAGAAATTGACAAAATCCTGCGCAAAAATTTACTATTTTGCCGTGATATTTTAATCTTTCAAGATTTTATGCTCAGTGTAGTATTGTTTACAGAGGCCATGCGAAATAGTATAGTTATTATAATATTAGGTCTAAGTTGAAAACATTATTTTTCTTAATGTTACGACAGAGACTTTTACAATATCCATTAAATTTTTTTATAATATTTGATACATTGTGATTTAAAAACATTAAGCTTATATTTTGACTCACATCAACAAACATCAAAATAAAATTTATAAAAAATCTCAAATTGCAGTTTAATTTAAACTTTTATTATTGTTTTTTTTTAAATCCATTTTATTTTTTTGTTTCTTAAACTTTTTATTTTTAAAAAGGTTTAAGATCTTTTTTGGCCTTTAAGATAAATATCAGTTACAATCATGTTATTTTTTCACTTATGTTAAAACAAATATATCTCAACTTCAATTATACAATTATAAAATTTTATTCCAAAAGTAGTAACTTATAACACTCAAAATATACAAATAAAAATCATTACCGGTAAAAACTATAAATAAATGTTTATTTTACAGTGTATTTAACAATTACCACCTGCATTTCCTAAATTTATAACAGACCGTTTTACAATTCACGCCATAGCAAAACTTATCACATTTATTTGCAGTCTGCCATTTGCACCCTGGAGGAGTTCTCATATTTCTCGAATATCTCGGAGAATACCCTACTCTTCGGGTGTATAATCTTTCTCTTGTTACAGACATGCTTATCTGATTAAATAAATTGCCAATAAGTGAAAACCAAACCAAATATATAAGCAGCATTTTAAACATTATACTAAGATTTCCTTTTACTTATGTATATCCTTTTACTAAAACAATAATAAAAAACAATATTCTTTAACTAAAACAACTATGTCAATAAAATTAAAAATTGATTCGTTTTATTATCTACCATTCCAATTTATTATCTACCATTGTATTTTATTATCTTTCACTGTCGTCTTGAATTAACGCAAAACAAAGTTAAAAAACTGTGTTAGTCCAAAATTTGATTTTTGAACTTTTGTAATAATATTATATTTAAAGAAAAGCAAGAAAACTCTTAATGAATATTAACACTAAACTGAAAAAATCCATAACAACAAATAGCAACTAGAAAAATAGTTTATTATTGATTATATTTTAAACATTTAACATATAATACTATTTTCTACTTTAATGACATCACTCTCACTAAGTATTATTGACAAAGGGTATTTTACTTTATTCAAACAAAATTTTATTTTATTTAAACAAAGTTTTTTATTTGAATAAAGTAAAAAAATGAAAGAAAAAAAAATGTTTGTTAAAAAAGATATCTTATTTCACAAATATTATAATGAAAAGTTTTAAAATATTTGAAGTTATATATAAGTTGAATAATGTAAAAACATTGATTTTAATTAAGCAAATTTATTTAAATGCTAAAAGTGATTTCAAAGCACTGACATTGGAATATTATTATCATCATATTTAAAACATCTATCCAGCAGACTAAAACGTCCATGAAACGTCTTTACGATGTCCAATGAACGACTCATTTCTAGAAGACGCTTGTAAGACGTCTAGCGGACGTTCTGTGATAGCTGGGTTGATTAGACATAAATTTAAAGAAATTTATTCTATTTAACTTAGTCATTTAGTTTTTTAAAAAGCACTATGATTATAAGTAAACATACGATCAAGAATAAGTAAAATTATGCAACATAAAAATATCTTACTTTTGAAGATCTGTCTAGTTCATTAGGTACTTTCCAAATAGGAAAAAATGAACATATATGAATTTAAGTTAGAGTCGGTTTAAAAACAAGATTGTCATTCAGCTAATATGGCATTATTACTAGTTATACAAAACGCGTCATTGCTTCAAATTAGATTATTTCAAAGCTTTAACTTACTCTTTCCATAATATGCTTTTTCCTTTAAACATTCTAACTTTCTTTATTTTTATCATTCTAACAATTCTACAAAGACCCCTCCAAACCTCACAAGTGTGGAACCTTTGATTAAAAATTAGATAAACGTTAAAGATAAAAGAAAATGTTAAATATAACGGCAAAAATAAAAACAAGTAGTCAAATTTTACAGGCGAATATATATTTATAGACAATATTAATGGTAAGATTAACAATTAGTATACTAATTGTTAATCTTACCATTAATATTTAACTTAAGATAAACCTGATGTTTATAAGCATCAGGTTTATCTTAAGTTAAACATGACGTTAAATCATCGTTTATAAATTTAAAAAAGAATCTTTTTTTATTTTGATTTCCGTTTTAGGTACCCCAAGAAGAACTAACGGTCTTGTCACAGAGCAATGCGGTAGAGCATTTATTTAAGAAATTCAGGCCTTCTCTTACCAATAGCGTGAAATACACGTTAAAATTACACATTTAACACGTTTATTTGAAAATTCATATTGATGAGGTGTTTTCAAAAATATTAGTGATAATGTTTCAGATGTATTGTTTGGTGTGTTACCTAACATAAGATTTTTATTTTGGATACCATCTGTCTTTCAATCAAAGTATTTAATAACAATCAAAAATATGATTGCTAGCATCTGTCAAAAAACTGAAACATGAAATGCCATCCAATGGTTTTAGCAGTTGATCAACAGTGTGTGAACAAGTTATCTGGTTTATAAATGCCTTAGTTTTAATTTTTGCACAAGCAATATATTCCGCAATTTCTGACTCTTGAAATACTGATAATTACAAATAGTATGAAGAGACAAAGTTGCTTCAGTTGCATGGGCTTTCTGCAATATCTTTGAGTTTTTAGGTTAAATAAAAATAAACTTATTTGATGACGCTGACACTTTGATTAGGGATTTATGTTTCTCACTGTTAACATGGTGCTCTGAGTTAGTTGCTCTTAGCGACGGACGTATTTGACAAAATTATGGAAGCACAGATCACAATCCCTGTGAGGGAAAATCTTAAAATGAAAATTAAAATGAAAAAGTCTAAAAATAAAAGCAAGAGCTTAAAAACAACTCTCTAAATGAAATTAAAATAAAAAAAAAAGTCTTGAAATGAAAGCAAGAGCTGCGTCTGCAAGTTTACTGCCAAAATTGGAAAATTTTGAATTAAACCTACAAACAATATTATAGAATCAAATTTTACAACGAATAAATACTGCTTCTAAAAGATTGCAAAGTGCAATTAATTAATGCAATTATATAGAGCTCCTCGTTGTCCCATCTGAATGTATACAAACCTATTAAGGAAAAATAAAATAAAGACAAAATTTTTTTTCCAAATGCTGAGATCTTCCTTATAACTTTCATGTTTCATGATATTCAAGAGCTTTGGAGAGAAGTCATTTTCAAAAATAAAATTACCAAAAGATGGTTGGCAATCAACAATGTCATAAAAAACTTTAAACATTTTTACATTATTATTAAGAAAAACCGACAAAGTGAAATTTTCTTGATGAAAAATACTGAAAAAAATTATGTAGATTGTAAACAATATTTTTAAAAAATTAAAAGAAAATTTCTAAATACATTAAAACAATTATTATAAATTTGCTATTAAATTTTTTTTTTTAATTTTAAAGTTAGGACCTTGAATTTTTAAAGGTTTTTTTTTGTTGGCGATACTTTTCTTTTTTTTTTGTTGACGATTTGGTGAGTATTTTACATTTGAATTTGATGTGTTAAAATAATAGTTTTAATGAAATTCAATCGAATACAAGTAATATTAGTCATGAACTCAACAGTATTAATTAAATAAACTTAAACAATTTACATATGAGATAAAACAATAAGACTTACTTAGCTTTTCGTTTCTTAACACATCTCAAGAAAAAAGATTAACTGAAGTTGTAAAGTCCAAATTAAAGAAATCAAAGCATATTTAAATCATTTTAAAGTTGTTAAAATTATGTTTATATAAAATTTTTTAAGTCTTTAAAGGAACACTGTTAGCAGCAATTGCAAGATTTGAAAAAGACGTGAACTATTTTAAAACCTTATGTAGGAAAAATGATTTGGTATCTTTATCGGAATTATTTAAACTATGGTTTTGATGAAATTTTGCATCTGGAAGTTAATCTTTCTGCTGATAGTAAAAGCAAGCAAAAACTTTTATAGTAAAAAAACATGCATTATTATTTTTAATTTTAGCCAAAAAGAGTAATGTATTATTTTTACTGTGAAAAATCTTTTTCATTTAGATAAGAATATTTGATTATTTTTCTATGTAGAGTTGTTTTGCAAAGTAGGTAGAAAATCTACGAAATATAAAACATACAGTGTCATGAAGTTTTTTAATATAAACTACAAATTAAATTTTGATCAGTAAAATTGTAATTTTTGGTTGTTTTTAATGTCAGTAATTATTTCTAATAATACTTAAATGTCAAGAAGTAGAATTTTGCATGTTTCTTTTGTGCTGTAAGACCTATAATATTGTGCCATTGTTACTCAAAAGGCATTTTTCAAAAACCTAATACATCTGAAGAAACTAGAGTATAATTTGTTTGAACATTTTGCTAAATCTTAAATTCCTATATAACTCAATCTTTTTATGTAGATTTCTCTAAACCTTTCAAAATAGGTAGGTGTAGAAGTAACGTGGTGTACAAATTTTCTTCTGCTTGGTTCACAAAAATATCTTTTTATGATAAAAAATAGATAAGATTATAAAAAGGCTCTAGCAGAGAGATAATCAAAAAGATGATAAAAAGGCTCTAGCAGAAAGATTTACAAATTTCATACAGAATATTCTTTAACTTTTACATTAAAACTACTAAAAAAAACTCTTGAACATAAATATATTAGCAAAGGGTTTAAAAAAAAATTAAAAATAGTTGCGATATTATTTCTTTTTTTCAAGAACCTTGAAAAGAAGAAAAAGAGCAGTATGTAATAACAAATGAAAAAGTGCAGAAAAAAATATTAGGTGTAAATTTCCAATGCAAATTGGGAAAAAGAATTTGTTTTCTTTACTTGTAAAGGTAAACTTTTTCTTAAAAAAATGTGAATTAATGTAAAGCAAATGGTAAAAACGTTAAAAGCGTGAAATCAGACTGACATGCAAAGAGATTTTTTAAGGGAATGTTTTAAATGCAATCAAAAAACCTCAAAAAAGTAAAAAAATAAAATAAAAAGCTTTACTGAGTAAATCAATTAGAGTTTATTTTCAGTTATCAAGGTGTAATTTGTTAGTCTTTATCTTTTTATTTTTAAATGTTTTTTTTTTTTTTTTGATTTCTATATTTGTTTTTTTTATTTGTTTTTTTTTATTTCTTTCTTTTGTATCCATGGTTAAATATGGTACCTATGATAAATGTAATTGCCAAAATCCTCCTTTTTTAAGACATTTTTGGTTTCTTGTTATTATTAAAACAAACTAAAATTTAATTCAATTTTGAATTTTTATACTAAATAGTAATAACTAGCAGAGGCGCGGCAAAACAAATCAAAGTCGCCGGCGCACAAAGAAAACCACGCTCCAAAAATCAACTACTTGACCAAAAAACTCTTACTCCTGTGTACTATAAAAAAACCAACGAAGAGCCTTTTGGTTCACAACACTAAAAGTTTTTCCATCTGGATTTTATATAAACCGTACACACATCTTATATATATATTCATACACAATACTCATTTAAAAAGAACAATGCCCCTGTACCAAGTTGACCACCACAAAATAAAAGAACCAAAAATGAATTAGTTACGAATTAGTTTACTAGTTATATTTCTAATCCAATAGTGTTCGTACTGTATAAATAGGGTACCGTTGCAGTTCTAGAAATAGATTTAGCAAACTTTTCACAAAGCTTTCTGGGATCAAAATGCAGACAAGCAATACAAAATGCAAAGAAACTTAATATTAATTCTGAAGAAACTGTGTATAAAAGCACGATAAAAAAATATTATTAGGATTTTTCCTCAACAGTTTCTTGCTACCTTGAACTTTTCTTATTAAAAAATTACATCGGACGTCATCCAACGTCTTCCGTATCGTTGGAAAGACGTTGGTATGATATTGTAAATGAAACAGCGAAAAACGTAGTTTATTGCAACGATGCAAAAAGGACGTTGTAACAACGTTACATTTGAGCTAAATGACTTCGGAAAGGCGTTAGAGCAACTATAAATTTTAAGTAAAAAGACGTTATTAAGGCGTTAGGCAAACGTTATATTTTGACTAAAATGACGTTGAGACAATGACTTTTCTATCGTTGTTTAGACATTGGAATAATGGCTCAAATAAAACATAGGCCAACGTTATTTTGACAACATTGGTCAAACGATGTACAAAAAACGTCCTCCAACGATTTTTTTAACGTTTTCACGATGTTATTTCTATACTGCAAAGAAAAATAAAGCACAATGTTACACTGTGTATCATTGTACTGTGAAGTTCTTTTTTCCTTTTATTTATCAAGGTCATACATGCTAATCATACATGGTCATACATGTCATACATGTCATACATGTCATACATAGTCATACATGTCAATCAAGGTCATACATGGTAATCATATTAGTCCAGGCAAATAGTTGAATACGGAAATTAATGATAAAAAAAAAATAAACCTTGCAATACTTCTGTTCCAAATTCTTAAAATTATATACAATAATTTAGAGTGTTTATGTTTTTTACTTTCTTTCAAAATTTTAAACATATGATAAATATATTGCGTATTCCATGTTTGACACTAAAAAAGGAAAATATATAAAGAAATATAAAGTTACAAACAAATTACAAGCAAAATCAAGAATGAAATAAAAAAACATTCGGAATGAACAAATACAAACACCAAAAATACCAGAAATTAGACTAATTTGCTATTTGATGCTCACCTGACTTTTTCTTATTCGAAATATTATTGACTGCAAGTTGTTTAGCAACATCACCTGAAATAGAAAAAACAATTCCTTAACTAATAAAAACTTATGAAACTACCCTCAAAAAATATTTATTTGAATAAATAAACAAAACTTATTTAAAACACACAATCATAACATAATGGAAAAAAAAAACTTTTTATTTTACCCTTAAAACAAATACCTTTGTGTTTGAATTCAGATTTCTACAAAAAAAAAAAAATTTACAGGGGGTAATTTTGGTAAGACAACATATTTTCTTATAACTTGAATTACATGAGTTCAGATTTCTGCAAAAAAAAAAAATTTTTACAGGGGTAATTTTGGCTAGACAACATATTTTCTTATAACTTGAACGGTACAATACAGAAACTAAAGTAGTACATTTTCACAAAGTGAAGAATCAAAAGTCGTTTTAATTAATAGCTCCCCTTAATACCAGTGATTACTTTTTTTGGTATTTTTTCTTTCTTCTTAATTTTTATATTACACTTAAACGCTTGAAGATTTGAGCAAATGGCGCCTTCTTACTAAAAATCAATAACTTCAGACTCAACAATTTTTAAATGAAAAAGAAGACATATCAAGAAGCGGTCATTCGAAAATTTGTAACAAATGAATCAGGTTATGTACATTGTATATTGTGATGTTGGACTATAACAACCCATAACCTCAATAATCCAGCCACCCAACCAATTCAACAGCAATGAAACTAACAAAGCTAATCTATTCACCGTTCCTTGCTCGACGTCACGAAATAATTAAGAGTTGTTTTGATTTCAAATCTGCCGTTATGGAGGACAACTAAGTTAGCGGAACTAATATATTAATTATATTATTCATAGTTTTTTTCAAAAAATATAACATTTTATAAAATTTAATGTATAACCAGAATAAGAAAATATAAATCCTGATCTGATTTATTTAGTTATTATAATTTTTTTATTTTAAATTAAAGTTTAATATATAAATATGCAAATATTGTAATAATAAAATTATAATATGGTCAACTTTTGTGCTGTATTTGGATGTTCAAACCGTTCAAATCGTGAAAAGAGAAAATCTTTTTTTCGTTTACCAAAAGTAGCTTGCAATCAAGGCGATGATGGTAAGATTTTATCAAAAGAACGTAGACAAAAATGGATAAATGCCATAAACAGAGTTGGTAACTATCCTGATATCCTCCACACTCGAATTTGCAGTGATCATTTTATTACAGGTAGAATAAGCCTTTTTACCTTTGAAATATTTTTATTACTTTGAAAGTTTAATATCATTAACTGTTAAACATTTTTACTTTTTTATTTAGGAAAACCTGCTTCTCTTTTCTCACAGAATGATCCTGATTGGGTTCTATCCTTAAATATGGGGCACAAAAAGTTTAAGTTTGAGGTTGAGAAACCTAGAGAAAGATACTTACGATACAAAAATCGTTCGTTGTTAACAAGTCGAAATGATTCTATGTCTTGTAGAAACAGCATCACTAGTTTAAACCCTTCTGAAGATTCAATCGTAGATTTTCAAATAGAGAATTTTAAAAGTAGTGATTCAATTGTCTCAGAAAGTGTTACAATAGATTGTGAAAACTTAGTAGATGCGAGTGTGCAAACTGATATGACTGTCAAAAATATCAATCAAATAGAAACTGAGTTTATATATAAAAACAAACTTAATTATGATTTGCGTGCAAATTTAGTCAAACTCCATGTGGGAACTATTGAATGGTTTGATACCGATTCAAAAGTAACATTTTACATTGGATTGCCAAATTTGAAAATTTTATGTTGTTTATTTAACTTCTTAAAGCCTCTTATAACTGAAAATGAGAACTCAGTTTTATCGTACTTTGAAGAATTTTCTTTGACGCTTATGAGATTGCGTTTAAATCTATCTATTAGAGACCTTGCTTATAGATTTGAAACTTCAAAATCGACCTCATCAAAAGTATTTTTAAGATGGATTGACATTATGTACTTCAGAATGAAACATTTAATTAAATGGCCTGCTCGCAATGAGCTTATAGAAACTATGCCTTTATGCTTCAGAAAATATTTTGAAACAAAAGTGGCTGTGATAATTGATTTTTTTTTTTTTATTTGCTTTCACTCCCAACAAGGCTGCAAGCAACCACTATTAAGTTGGGAGTTACTAGGAAAAAAAAGAACAGAGTTATAGAGCAAGGAAACGGTTGAAAGAAGACTTGAAAAGTTGAAGGTTGTATGAGTCAGGAAAACATGAAGATGGGAGAGAGTTCCAAAGGATTGAAGTGCGGGGAAAAAAACTAGATGAATAAAAGTTTTTAGAGCATGCAAGGACAGAAACAGTAAACGAAGGAAACTTAGCTGAATCACGAGTAAAACGAGAATGAATTTTAGTTGATGGAACTAGAGATGATAACTCCTTTGAGCAGTGACCATGATAGTATCTGTAGAAAAGAGAAAGAGATGCAACTTTACGACGATGGGAAAGAGATTCAAGCTTAGCAGATAGTCCAGGTCCAACAACATTTACAATGCGTTTTTGGACCTTGTCAAGAAGAGAAAGTGAATCGTTAGAAGAACCAGCCCAAATATAACAACAGTATTCCATACAGGGACGAATAAGAGATTTGTAGAGGTAGAGAATGGAATCAGAAGTAAGGAAATGGCGAGCACGATAAAGAGAAGCAACCTCAGCAGAAGCTAATTTAGCAATCGATTGTATATATGGTTTCCATGAAAGGTCAGTAGTAAGCGATAATCCAAGAAGACGTAAAGAGGACGACTCAGTAAGAGGATTGCCATTCATTAATATAGGAGTGTTGACCATATTACGGTAGTTGTTTGCAGTAAGCAACTGGGTTATTTTAAAGTTGAAATTCACAAGCCACTATGAACCCCAATCTATTACTGAAGTGAGATCGGATTCAAGATCAGCTGCTTGTTCTAGGCGATCGAAAAGAGAAGACTTTTTGTCCACAGATGCCATTTTCCAACAAGCAGGAAAACAAGACTCAGCCAAACACTTGTTAAATAGTTTAGAGAGAATTGAAGAAAGTTCTGGAGAACAATTCTGCAAGACTGTAATAGGAATGTTGTCTGGACCACAAGCTGTAGACGAGTTTAATTGAGATTTGACTTTAGCAATAGAAGCCGGAGTGATTTGAATGTCTAACAATGGGTCAACCTGTTTGACTGGAATGGAAGGAAGAGAATGTCCATAAGATTCAAGAGTGGAATTAGAAGAAAAATTCTTTGCAAATAGTTCTGCCTTATCCTTGGGAGAGGTAATAAGATTAGTCCCATGAATGAGAGATGGAATGTTAGATCTACCCTTGTTAACAATGATGTTGAAGATTTTCCAAAAGTCTTTAGAGCCTAACTTCTGTGATAAGATGCGAGATTTAGTGAACTGAGATTAATGGAGTTTAGCATCAGAAAGCACCTTTTTACATCGATTTCTTGCAATAATAAATAGTCGTTTGTTCTCAAGAGAGTTGTTCTTTTGAAAAAGATGAAAAAAATGATTACGATTGGATATAGCAGCCGCACAAGAAGGAGAAAATCATGGAGTAGAATGAGGCTTGACTTGAAACCGACGAGAAGGAATAAAAGCTTCCATTCCAGCCTCAATCCAGGAGGTTATGTAGGAGGCGCATTTGTCAGCTGAGAGAGAAAAAAAATCAGCCCAAGGACCATCACGAAGAAAATCACGAAAGGAATCCCAGTCAGCTTTAGGGTAGTAGTAGGTGGTGCGATGATAAGGTTTTGAAAGATTGCTTTGAAATATTCATAAATAAACCATCTAATATATGCGCAAGAGCAGCAACTTGGTCACAGTATAAACATCACAATACTGTTAAATTCTTAATAGGTGTAAGCCCACAAGGTGTGATAACATTTGTTTCTAAAGCTTAGGAAGGACGTGTTAGCGATAAATACCTAACAGAACATTGTTCAATTTTAAAAAACATTCTTCCTGGAGATGTTATTTTAGCTGATAGAGGTTTTAACATTGCTGAGAGTATTGGTTTTTATTGTGGGGAGCTAAAGATTCCAGGATTTACAAAAGGAAAGTTACAACTGACTTGTTCAGATGTAGAAACAGCCCGGAAAATTGCCTCTGTTCGAGTACACGTTGAGAGAGTTATTGGATTGTTACGTAACAAATATAAAGTTCTGCAAAGTATTATGCCATTAGATTTCTTATATACTAAAGATTCTGGATTATGCACAATGGACAAAATTGTTATTGTTTGTTCTTCTTTGATAAATATATGTGATTCAATTATTCCTGTGGAATAATTTTTAAAAATTTAACAGGATTGAATAATTAATTGAAACTAGATCTTATAAACAAAAATAAATATTATCAAATTAAGTATAAAATATTTTTATTAAAAGTTTACATTTTTATTTCAATTTTATACAATAATCGTGATTATTAAAAACTTTGTTTTCTTTTTTAAAGTAGCTGTGTTCTATTAGTATAAATTTATTTTTATCTGATATTTCTTTCATTAATTGATTTTTTTGGCTGTAAAATTTGTTAATTAGTTCAGGTAAAATACATTCTTCAAAAAATTGTTTAAATTTTATTATATTCCTGTCCATAAATTCCAAATCCGGCAATATTCTTTCGCAATACGAATCTTTTGATGTCCAAATAAAAAAATCACAGTAGTTACTTGATGAAGCATATAACTGACACTGAACTTGATAGTAATATTAATGTGATTTTTTTAAAGATACATAACCAGCTTTATTTTCCAGACAACAATTTTTAAAATCTAATAATTCGCTAATGTATTTATCTATCATACTATATGGACATTTTATCTCCAGACAACCATTTGGTTGTGGAATACAAAGTCAATGCTTTTTTTTCATGGTCATTTCCCTATTTTGTTGCTGCTGTGCAAAAACGTGCTTGAATGGGGTAACATACTTGCATAATCAAACTGATTGGTGGTTGGGTGATGTTTGCGCAGCATACACTCCCTTTTGAAGCAGTTATACGACCTGCCCTAAAGTAAAACCAGTTTTTACTTTTTGCTTGAAGTCGCGTTGTACTCTCAACATTTTTACTTCGCTCAATCGTTATTGTAATTTTTTTTTTTTTACAAGCAGCTAACGTCAGCTAACTTTACTTAAGCAGCTAAGGAGTTGTTCAAAGTTTAAAAATATATTTTTCTGATAAAGATCTGACAATGATTCAGCATATTTTTCTGTTATTATTGATGGTTGATAAGGTTTGGTAAACACAGGAATAATTGAAAGAATACTGGTTTTGTTCCACATTGACTAAGGTCTAAAAAAAATTTATCAGTTTCATCTTTTGTTGGATTAGAAACACTTTTTCTATGTGCTATTTTTTTGTCATAGATTATGCCTTGAACTTTACTGTTTAAATTGCATTGCAAAGATTTGGGTGATGTAAAATTAATATCTGAAACAGGCTTGAATTCTATCTTTTTAGAGCTTAATAGTAACCAATGAGCTTTTTCATCAGTGCATGTTTTTGAATTTCTAATTTTAACTGCACACTCAATATGAAATAGTACCGCACCAACATGTGAACAACTTTCTCCGAGACCAGCCATGCAATTGCAATGTGCACAAACTATATTTCCTGACTTCTCCGAAATAATCCATGGATGTAATGGTACATCATTCATTTTTTGAGAGTGTTTCACCTAAAAAACTTAGGACAAAAAATTAAAACAAGAAAGCTATTTCTATTTTAATATTGAACTAATAAATAAAATAACCTACTCTGCCATGAATAAGGACATATTTCTCAAATAATTTCACACCAGCGTTGATTACCCAACCTGATACAAATTGATTAAGCCCTTTTTAAATTTGAAAACGGAAAATCTCCGGGCTATAACGGACTTCCAGCTGAATTTTATAAAACTTTTTGGCACATTTAAGAAAAAGGTTTTGAAGAGCTTGCATACGAAATACTTTTCGTAGAAAAAAATACCAGCCACTCTATGAAAAAATCAATAATTTCACTGATTGCCAAGCAAGGAGATCTTACTGAACGTAAAAATTGGAGACCCATATCCTTAATCGGCGCTGATTACAAAATAATCACAAAAGCGCTGGCCCTAAGACTTGCAAAAGTAATGGGGAAATTTATAGAACCAAACCAAACTTGTGGATTTCCAGGTAGAATAATTTTCTCAAATTTATATTTAATCCGTGATCTAATAGATTACGCGGAGTTTAAAAATCTACCTAGTTTCATTTTGTCTATAGATCAAGAAAAGGCGTTTGACAAAGTCGATCGTGCGTTTCTGCTGCAGATTCTCCAAAAATTTAATCTCGGAGAAAATTTACCCGCAATTGGACAACACAGAGTGGACTAACAACACCGGTTTCAAAATTTTAGGTGTTACGTTTTACACAAGACTGAGTAATACTACCTATTTCAACTGGCTAGTAACTCTTAACAAAATAGAGAAAAAATTCAAGTTTCTGGGACTACGTACTTTGTCGCTAGGGGGAAGACTATGTTGATAAACACGTTAGCATTGTTAAAAGTGTGGTTTTGGGCAAACGTTTTGCTTTTTCCTGAATGGGTAATAAAACGTTTGCACAGTGCCATTTTCGAAAATCTGTGGCAAAAGACCAATTTTAATCCGGTCAAAAGTGAGACACTTTTCTTTCCCGTTAAAAACGGGTGTCTCGTAATCCTATCATTGAAAGAGCAAAGTCTTGCGCTCCGCCTCAAAACACTCTTTCAACTGAAAGAATGCGGAGAGGATAACGCTCACGATTATTACTCCTTTTCAAAGTACTGGTTAGCAAGTTCACTTATCAAATTTACTAACCAAAACCCAAGCTGAAACTTTTTGAAACAGAACAATTTTCCAAAACACTGGGACAACAAAATGTCTCAGTACTACAAAACAACAATTGAAATATTAGGCCAAAACGGGTCCCAACTTAACATCCCTCTAAAATCAACAAAAAATTTGTGTGTGGCAAAAAACAAAAAGACAGTCGTACCAGCAGAACTTTTCTGAAACGGTTCAACAAAAACAAAAATGCCGTAGACCCAAATTTGGAAAAAGAATTTTACCTCCCACGCATGCGGACCGACTCAAAACATCCTCTTTTGATTTTTACACAACAGCTTACCTTCTGCGGCTTTGCTAGCCAAAAGCGCAAGGCAACAGATTGTCAAAAACAACAAATGTAAAACTTGGGGTAAAATCGAGGATAATCTTCACATCTTTGCCTACTGTCCTCCCTCTGTTGAAATTTGGGAATATTTTAAACATGTATATAACTCCTTGACAACCCAAAATATTTTTTCTCCGATAAATTCGATTTTCTCTATCGGGACCGCGAGTTTATCGGAAAAGAACCCTACATCGCAGCTGCTGTTGACACTCACTCAAACCATCATGAGTGAGATATGGAACAGCAGATGTCACCACACGTTTAGAAATATAAAAATTAACCCAATGACAGCGATCAGAGTAATAATTAAGAAAATCAGGAATATTATTACATTAAAATATAATTATAATGTCCGCAGAAACACCACGGACATTTTCTGTCAACTTTTTTGTGTTAAAAATATAATATGCCAAGTAAAAAATGGAAACCTAAAACTAAACATATGAACTAAGCTAATACACTAGCTAAATAAAAAGAACTATATGTTTAGTGATGTTTTCCATTTCTCTAGGAATTATTATTTTTACAACAAAATATTATTATTTATGATTACCCAATCACTGCCAGCCTTTATTTTATGAGTTATAATTTCCCTTTTTAAATGTTTTTCTGTAGCGTACGTAATGTGGTGTTTGTGTAAAAGTCTTGTAATTATTTTTCTATTATTTTGTTATAAATTTCTTCCTTTAAATAAAAACTACTTGAAATTTTTTCTTAAAACATCTTCCTCTTTAACTCTTTCAAACCTTCCGAATTCTCTCCGCACAATGGCACAATAATAAAAAAACAAAAAATACAAAAAAATACAAAATCAAAAAACACAAAAAAATATAAATAAAAAAATACAAAAAAGTATAAAATTAAAAAAACCACAAAAAAAAAAAAAAAAAAAAAAAAAATATATATATATATATATATATATATATATATATATATATATATATATATATATATATACATATATATATATATATATATATATATATATATATATATATATATATATATATATATATATATATATATATATATATATATATATATATATATATATATATATATATATAGAGAGAGAGAGAGAGAGAGAGAGAGAGAGAGTTTTTAGTTAGTTAATGGTTCACAGTTTTTCAAAAAATTGTGAACCATTAAATTTGTAAACCCATAAATTGTAAAACTTAGCATTAACATCAAACTTTCAGAACAAAAAAAGAAACTAAACAAAGTGACAGCTTAAACGAAAATTGTACCAACCTAAAAAATAGTGACATTGAAGTTAAACTCACAGAATTAGAAGATCCAAGCAGGCGAAGTAATTTAAGATTCACAGGAATTGAAGAAGAACCGAATGAGAGATGGGAAGAAAGTGAAAGAAAAGTTCAGGTATTTTTAAAGTCAAAACTTGGGTTTACAAACGATCTAGAAATCAAAAGAGCCCATAGAACGGGAAAGAAAGCTTCTGATGGAAAAAAAAGTAGAACAATTGTAGCGAAGTTTTTTAATTACAAAGATAAAAATGCAGTGTTGGATCGATTTATTCAACTAAAACTATGGAACGAAAAGCTTTAGGTCAATGAAGACTTTAGCGACAAAACGATTGAAATAAGAAAATGACTATTTAAAGAAGCGAACGATTTAAAATCAAAAGGTAAATTTGCTAAGGTAGTTTATAATAAACTTATTACTCGTGATTTTTGATTTTCAAAAAAAAAAATTTTTTTTTTATCAAGTAGTTATAAAAATTAAAATGGATTCTAATTACCCAACCTATTTTGAATCAATCTCATGTAATTTATTTCAAACAAATGATTTAGTTATTGACATTGATTCAGATCCAGACATAAATTACTTTAATGATTTAGTAGCATTGCAAAGTAAATGCTCGTATTTTTATAACAAGGAAATAAAAGAAATTTTACGACGGGATCATTTTAATGTTGTTCATCTTAATATTAGAAGCTTGAAAAAAAACTTTGACAATTTATGTAACATTGTAAAAGAAACTTTAAATATTTTAGCATAATATGCTTAACTGAAACTTGGTGTGACTGATGACCCCAAATCTTACTTAAATCTTCACCTGGGAGGCTTTAAAATGATCCCGCTAGCACGAAAATCAAAAAAACGAGGCTGTGGTGTACTTTTTTATATAAAAGAAAATTTGCAGTATGTTATTAGGCCTGACATGAGTAACTCTGATGACAATAGCGAAGTCTTTACAATAGAGATTAAAACCAGTAACACCAAAAATATACTTTTGAGTTGCTGTTATCGCCCGCCATCTAGCATAATAGAAAATTTCAATACATTCTTATTTAATAAATAAACTATTATTAAATAATTCCATTAATAAACAGATCAACAAGAGTAACAGAAACATCAGCCTCTGTAATAGATAACATAATAACAACTGACATCTTTAACAATTCGCTTAAAATAGGTATTATAAAAAATGACGTGTCTGATCACTTCCCAATTTTCTTTTCTCAAAATCTTGTTACCGAAATAATACAACAACAAAAACAAATTTTGATCAAACGCTTTTTCAATAAATCAAATATCGAATCATTTAACGATCAGCAATCCCTACTTAACTGGAATAACATCGACTCTACATTAGAAGCAAACGTAGTCTATAACACATTCTACGAAACATTTTATGATATCTATGACGCAAATTTCCCGAAAATTAAAATAATTAAATCAAGTAAAAGCCTTAAATCACCGTGGATCAATAAAGACCTCAGAAAGTCCTCAAAAATTAAGCAAAAACTTTATATAAAATACTTAAAAACCAAAACAATTGAAAACAAAACAATATACAAAAATTATACTAAACAATTTGAAAATAATAAAAAAAATGCAAAAAAAAAATACTATTTCAATTTGCTAGAGAAACATAAACTCAATTCAAAACGCACTTGGCAAATTTTAAATGAAATCACGGGCAAACAAAACTTAAAATTGTGTTCTCTACCTTAAGCTATTAAAATTAATGATAAAATAATAGATGATACTAAAGAAATAGCAAATGAACTAAATAAATTCTTTGTTTCTGTTGGACCTAACCTTTCAAAAAAATTTTCCAAATATGATAAATCCAATCAGTAATTATAAATTTCCTCTAACCTCTTATCTAAGTACTTTTGAACTATCATTTTCAGAATTTAAAAATGCTTTTAAAATGCTTAAGCCCAATAAAGCAATTGGCCAAGATGATTTAAATGGAAACATTGTTATTAAGTCATACGATAGTATAAAGAATACTCTATTTAAAGTTCTTAATTGTTCAATAAGTCAAGGAATATTTCTGGCCCAAATGAAGGTTGCAAAAGTAACCCCTATATATAAAGGTGGTGAACTAACAAATGTTGGGAATTATTGTCCAATTTCCAAAGTTTTTTCCAAAATTCTTGAAAGAATTTTATTTGATAGAATTTTTAATCATCTCTCTGAAAATAATATACTTTACAACAATCAGTACGGTTTCAAAAAAAATAACTCTACAGAATACGCAGTACTTCAACTCACAAAAGTTATTACTGACTCCTTCGAAAAATCACAATTTGCTTTAGGCATTTTTATAGACCTATCTAATGCTATTGATACTATTGATCACGGCATTCTATTAAATAAATTAGAACATTGCGGTATCACTGGTAAAGTCTGAATGTTATTAAAAAGTTACTTAAATAATCGTAAACAATTCATGCATATTGATACACACTCAACAACTACTGATTTAGATATATCCTGTAGAGTGCCCCAGGGTTCCATACTTGGACCACTGTTATTTCTAATTTATATTAATGACCTCTATAAAACTTCTAATTTAATGACAATAATGTATGCTGATGATACTAATCTTTTCTTATCCCAAAATGACATCAATAACTTATTTAATGACATGAATGTGGAACTAAAGAAAATATCTGACTGGTTTAAATCAAATAAGCTTTCACTTAATATCGAAAAAACTAAATGGATTCTTTTTCATTCAGCTTATAAAAAGCATATACTACCAAGTGAAATGCCGCCGCTTTTCATTGATAAAATTAATATAAAAAGAGTAACTTATACTAAATTTTTAGGTATTATTGTGAATGAAAATCTTTCATGAAAAAACCATTTTGGAAATCTAAATAATAAAATTGCAAAAAGTATCGGGATTCTATATAAAACAAGAAGCACTTTAAACAAACATGCTTTAATTCAACTATATTACTCATTAATTCACTGTCATATTAACTATTGCCTGGGGTAGTACCAACAAAATTAAGTTAAAGCCTTTGCTTTGTCAACAGAAGCATGTAGCGCGCTTTATTAATTTTAAAGATCGTTTTACTCATGCCAGACCTTTATTATTAAACATGAATATTCTTAATATTTACGAAGCAAATATATTTAATGTTCTTTGTTTTATGTTTAAATGCAAAATAAATACTTGTCCTGTTTCTTTTCATAAGTTATATTCAATGAAAGAAAAAAATAAATATACATTAAGAAATAATAAACATATCCAACAACCAATTATTCAATCAAATATAGGCAAATCTTGCATTCAATACCGTGGAGCCTTTTTATGGAACAAAATAGTTTGATTTTTCGCATAATTGGCAAAACATTTTGATTTTTCGCATAATTGGAATTATTTTTCTTTTAAAAGAAAACTAAAAGAAGTAATTTTTTCAATTGATAACATATTTTTATATTTTTAAATTATTACCTATTCCACAAAATAATTAAGGAATTATAATCTGAACGACAGTATTTTTTAGATTACATATTATATATTATATATTGACATTACATATATACTGATGAAAAGTGATGTAATTTTTCGAGTTTTTGTTTGCTTTTTTTGTTTGTTTTTTTTGCATAATATTAAATATTGAGAAATATTATACATATATTCACATATATTATAAAATATTGTTAGAACTTACTTAACATCAAAAGAGTATTATAATATATAAACGCATTTAAATATTGTTTTAAATATTTGTAAACTTATGTATTTTGACTTAATATTGATTGTAAAGGGCTTTATGATAAAATCGTATGATCTTCTGGAAGTCCTACCAGGAATATATTCATGCATTGATGCTGTTAATATGGTTTGTATCTTCAGTACATAGGGACCAGTATAAAAAAAATTTACTTGTGAAGCCTTTAATCTTTTAAATTCTACCAGTGATCTAGACTATCTGACAAAATCAGATAGCTTTTTACCAAATAAGTTATTTGACTTTTCAGAAGTATAATTAATTTGAACATATGATAATTGGCGTATCTATGCTCCCTTTTACAAATGCAAAGTAAATCAATCAAAAGATTCTTAAATACTTCACACTCTTTATATCTCATCTTAGCACACTGTGTGTTTATAACTGACCTAAGGTCTTTATAATTCATCTTAGCTCTGTGCTCGCTAAGATTATAAAGATTGTGAAGTTTCTAAACGTAAGAAAAAAATGGTCTTGATTGAAAACAAGTCTTTCTTTTTTATAGAATTAACATTTTGCTCACGCTAGAGTGTCAAATGTTAATTTTCTAACATTATCATACTTAAAAACTATTGGAATTGAAAGAAAAACTCACCAATTAAACCTCAATAACTATTATTTTCAAAGAAACTGGTAACCATAGAAACTGGTAACCATAGAAACTGGTAACCATAGAATTTGCCTTTCACCATATAGTTGATCTTGATGTCAGGATATATTTATACTTGTTTACCTGTAAGCAAAAATATATAAACTTATGTATATTTATAAAAAGATAATATATAATTTATAAATAAATATGTTTACTTATAACAATTTATTCATATATTAAAAATAATATATTTAATACTTTTGTATTATACTACATAGCATTATAAAGATAATTTTAAAAGTTCAAATAAGGGTTTTGTAACTTTTAATAAAGGAACTTTTTTAATAAAAATGTTCTTCAAAATATTCCTGAGAAATGATTTCGAAGCATTTTTTATCTATTGATATCATTTTTATAAACATTAGTATTATATTATTATTGCGTTATAAAAATATTCACGTGCAATATGTATACTATCGTGTTTCATATTTTATCATTGTATAAAATTGAACTCGCGAATTGATTTATAAATTGACCATTTATATAAAATTAAGTTTGAGCAAAAAAAAACTATTATAATTTTTAGGGTCCCCGCCAGTTCGATTTCGGGCCATAAATGTTAAGTGTTTTATGCGGACCTTAAAATTTATCCTATAAAATTTTTTATTATTTTAAATAATATATGTTGGATTGAATATTAAAACATAAAAAGAGCATGTAAAAAAAATTAAGAAATAGTCTACAGAATCTTATAAAATCGGTGAAAAATCCATAATTTTCTTTACAATAACCTTTTTTATAACTTGGTGGCGTATAAAAATGTTTTTGATTTCGAAATAAACTATTTTTAGACACGGAAAAAACAGTAACCATGTTAGTTTATTAATGCTTTTTCCTTTGGTAAATAGCAAGTATAAAAATAAAATCAACTCCTGACGATAGTCTTATTGTGAACATTGTTTACAAATTCTGATACAAATTTAATAGATCTTTCGAAAACGTCGTTAACCATTGCGAGGTTGGAGATAAATCAGGAAAAAATCTTAAACTGGTCAACATACTCCCATAGTAGTACGGGGCTGTTTAACCAAAGTGTATTATTCAGTTAGTTAGATTTAACAAAGTTTTCTCTAAAACTAATTTTGCAATATTAGGTGGTTTATCTAGCTTTTAACTAAGTTAATTTCCCGGAATTCCAAAAAAACTTCAGGAATTGGTTTTGAGAAGAGCATTTTTGCAAGATCTTCTCTCTCTCTGCAATAAAAATATCATGGTCTAGAAGAGCAAGTGGAATCAAGGTTTCCTTAAGGAACCATAAATATGATTCCATTGAAACCATTGTGGCATCAATACCATTAAGTTATTTCAGAATTCTGAGCATATTGTTTTACACATTCTCTATATTTCGTCATTTGCCAATAGGCTTTTATATTTTGGTAAGGTAAGGTAAAGAAATTTTAAAAACCAGACAGAAAAAAAGATTAAGATAAACTCGGCTGTAGACTTATTTCTTTTGAATTTCTGTGAACTCATAAGTTGCAAACTCAATATTTGAATCTTGAGATAATAAATAGCTTTGGACATAAAACGTGCATGCGACACACACCTTGGAGCTTGAATTTGAAAATCTCTTTTAGGGCATTAGTACATAAAAGTTAATTTCAATAACTCTTTGTAACCTCCTCTGGGGAAAATATTTTCCTTTAGAGCCATCTCGCGAAATTTTACAGCGTTGAACCTATGGATTTCTAAGAAAAAGTTAGCAATAGATTGGGTATCATATTTTACAAACTTTGAAGAGTCAATGCTACTTTTAATGACATTCCAGTTTAATTCGAACCGTTTGAACATATAGTTTTCTGGAGATTTTGCACTGCATTGTTTTTCCTCTGATTAAAACATTGTTTTACAAGACATCATGATGAACAATAATGGTATAAGCCCAAAAATTAAAGTCACAACAACGGCCTGCAATAAAACTGGCTGGCCAAAGTAAAATATCTTGAATTTTGAAAATAAAAGATTTTGTTTCAAAATTTTCTTTAAATATTGAAAAAATTGCAAAAACATTAAACGTTGCATTCTTATTAATGGCTTTCAAAAACAGTTCTTCAACGTTCGTAAACTTATTGAATGCGTAAAATTATTGAATTGAGGTTGTTTGAATCGATCTTTTATTGCATTATTAATTGTGTGAGGAACTTTAATATATTAGCATCAAATAATCATCTACTGTTTCAGGGTAATAGGCATTACTTGTTTGTTTTTTTGTAACCACTGATATATTGGAAAAAGGAATAATTCAAATATTATAGTTTTCTCGGTAAGGTATGTTTTTCGATCAATTTATTCAAATTTGAAGCTTAATCACCGCAAAAAATGAAATAATTTCTTATACTTAATTTGTGCCAACCACTAAACATGAAGATTTTCTTCCACTTGTTGCTAACATGTTTGTCAATTGAAAAGATTCTGACAAGCTAACAGTCATGGCTTAAAGCTTATTTAGAAAACAAGCTTTACATATGAAATTGATGCCAAAAAAGAAGTAAAAGGATTCCATCTGACTCCTGCAAACTAACAATTCTTACTTTTATCTCTTGGTCAAGTTTCTTTCATAAATTTGTCCCAAAGTTTGATTCATAATTGTTGATAACCTCTTAACACATTCGAATGGTTTATCTTGTTAAGGAGAGTTGATTCAGCTTTTTAAATGGTTCAGAGCTTTGTTCTATTTCGATGTTCTCATTAATATTTTCAAGCAAATGCTCTCATTTTGTTGAAAACTTCACAAGCACGCATATTTCTTCAACAACATTCAAGGTATCATGCAAAATTTCATATTTTGTAGTCAGCAATTTAACGGATAAATTAAGAGAATGTACATTCTCTTAGTTTATCCGTGAAATTGCTGACGTCCTTGACATTGAAATTGTAAGGACGTCCTTGACAGTTTATGGCAACAGCTTTTAGCTGTTCAGCAAGAATTTAAGCTCCTACAATTATCAAAACTTAACTTAATTCTAATGAGATTATCTTTGATAACAATACATCTTTTTTATTTCTCTGATCATTCAGGTTTCCATTTCTTTCTTGAATAATACAATAGTAAAAGACACTGTTAGTTCTAAATAAAATCCAATCATTTTAACGAAAAATAAGGGTAAAAACCTTAAAAATAGCAGTTTTTAAATCATTTGGATTCTTTTAACTTGATAGACAAATCAAAAGTGTATTTCTAAAATTAAATTTTTTTCAGATTCTTATATTTGCTTACATTTGATAAAAAATTCTAATAAAATTTATGAAACATTTATTTAAAACCGTCTTGAAATATTATTTATAACTAATGAATTGTTCATAGATTTAAAATTTATTGATATAACTTATATTAATTCTCATTCCTATTTAATACGAGTAACAGCTTGTATTCTTAAATTCGTATCTTGCTTTTAAAATACGCAAGTACGAAAAGACAAACTTTTACTCTCTTTTTATGAATTAAAAAACGCCAAAATAATTTGAAATAAATTTATCCAATAAAATATATATGGTTCTAAGAATTATAAACAACTGAAAATGATTTAGGATTGACCATTATTTGTAAAAAATATATATTCTGATAGAGAAATATTAATGTTCGGATACTTTTAGCTTCTTGTGCTAGTACATGTTTTATACATTTTGATTTAGTTCTTGTTTGTTCAGCTTTGACGTGTATTTGATGGTTGCGAAGGCTCGTTAGCAAATTTGGTGTACCTTACGTAATTATTAGCAATAATGGATCGTGTTTTACAGCTGATGAAAAACAACAATTTGCATCCTTAAAAAGTATTTTATGGCACGTCACTGTCGCAGCTGCTCCGTGATGGGGAAGATTTTTGTAACCTATGGTACGCTCAGCCAAGAGAATTCTCAGGAAAATATTGAAAACTGCAAGAATATCTTACGAAGAAGTACTCACAATTCTTGCAGAAGTCGTTACGAATAATCGTCCGTTAACGTTTTTGTATGATTAACCGGCAGACGAACCGTTATCTTCTAATCATCTCGTGTTTGGCAAAAGATTAAGCTCAGAAACATTATTAATAAAGAATAGTTGTATACATATGGACATAAAAAAGCGCGTTGTATAAAAAAAAAACTCTATTTTAGATCATTTTTGAAGTAGGTGACGCAGTGAATATTTAACAGCAGTGAATATTTACCAGCACTCCGCAAATTTCATAAAAGTTATAATAAAAGTGGAATTAAAAATATTATTAGTTATTAGTAGTTATAAGAATCGAATTTGGTTCAAAGATTATGGAAATTAGACATCATTGAAAAAATTTTACCGTCAACGGACGGATAACTGCGTGCAGGAAATGTTCGACAACGCACTCGATCAACTCTTCTACTACCAGCTGTGATCTACGATATCTTCTCTCTTACGCAAAACAATTATCACTCAGATTGGTTTTATCATTATTCTATATATTATTAAGTGGTACATTAATTATTTAATTGATACATTTATAAAGTAGTTATCAATCATAGTCGTTCATATTTTTGCTCTTTTTTGCTTTATGTTGTTTGCAAATCTTACTATGAGTTTTTTTTTTTTACTTAAAAGCTCGAATCCAATCGTCACATAAAAAATATTTTTGAACCGATATATAACGACGCCTTTTTTTGTCATATCTTTATATAATATTTATATAACATTATATATAATAATATAATACAAAATATAATAAATTTATATAATATATTTTATAAAACCTTTTGCATCTTAAATGATATCGACAAAAAAAGCCGAACTCAGACGATTTTATTGCATATGCCTTGAACATGTCATTTTATTTTGATGTAAATATCTGCTGACCACCATACTTTTTTGGTATGTTTGTTTCATTTTTTTATTAATCTATTTTTTAATTTATGTTGACTTTGGTATATCGTATTTCAAAGCTGCTTGTCTTTGAGTAATTAAGCCATTTTTTAAATTTTTATAGCATTTTCTAACTGGTCTAAATTGTAAGTAAGTAATTTTCTTCTTTCAACTTTAATAAGTTACAATAGTTAAACTGTGTAAAGTCTCCCTGATCAACCCTAATTTTAAAAAATTACAAGTGTAATTTTTTTGATGCAAAAGTGTTGATGCAAAAAATTTGACGTTACCCTAAATTTGCCAACTTATCCTAATCTGCTACTATAAACTATGAGTTTTGTTCGTCATATTTACACTAAGTTTTTGTCAGAAAAATTATTTTGAATCGTGATGTAAATTAAATTTTCAAAATTTCTTTATATTTTAGATATTTACGCCTAAAATTGAAAACATCCGACAAACGTGCTTGATCCAAGAAAACGCTTCAAAATCAAAACGCGGTTGGGCTAGCTGCATTTTAAATTAACTCGCACAAAATCAATGCGATTGGTTCTCGCACTAAATTAATACAATTGGTTCAACAGCAAACTTGCAGTTGTACCATTAAGATACGGTTTGCCCGATAATATAGATTGCTTAGGTAGTAAGGGAAGTAGGGGCAAGTTGAAAAAAGATTTAAATTTCTTAGTTTCTATTTTGAATAATTTTTATTAGAGTACATCCGTAAAACACGTACGCAGTAAAAACGCTGATTTAGCACCCCTTCCTCTGTGTACGCAACTCGATGCTTTTAACGATCTTCCGCTTATTTTTTATGATTTTTATATAAAAATATAGTATTTTATAATTAAAGTACAGTAAAAAAAAAAAAAAAAATTTTAAAGGGTCTATTTTTTTATATAAATGGACCCTGATTATGGACTACGTGCTGCGATAAACAGTCTATGATCTAATAATAGTATAATAATGAAATTTTCACAACTTTTTAATATTATATGATTGAGCCAAAAACCCTGCCAAAATCAAATAATTTAAAAAATCATTTAAGCTTTTGTAAGAAAACCGGTTTATGGCTGAAAAAATATCCCTGAAAAAGCATAGAACCTAGACTTTTTTTGGAACTCGTTAACTAACGTGAATTTTTTTTGGAAAGGTACATATATATAATAAACAACTCCTGAAAACTTTAACTCAAACAGACAATCCAATCACAAGATATTTATCGCAGAGTGCAAAAAACTTAAATTTTGAGAAAAACAATAGTAAAGATTTTAAAAGATAAAAATTAAAAAATACATAAAAGTCTGAAAATTATTGCAAATCAATGTCTTGAGCATTATTGAAAATAATAGAAAAAAAGAAAAGTACGAAAACTTTAATATTTGAAAAACAAATTATAAAATAGAAAAAAACTAAAGCACTCCTGTCACATAGGATCTTCACTTACTTTATCAGTAAAATCATATTGCATGAAACTGCTTTCTTCTGTGTTTTATGGAGTCGAGCGACTTTTTTCCATTAACTTCATTCTGTCTTGGTACAGTACTGAGTAGCAAATATATCTGGTATAACATTTAAATATTCAAATATGTCTAATATAGCAGAAATATCATCATTATTTAAAATTACTGCTGATGCAATACTTATTTCTAAAGTGATACCATCAAAAATACTTATTAAGGAAAACACTTCATATTTTTATAAAGATCTGCATCGCCATTTTTTCTTGATTTTTATGATGAACACACATTGCATATTTTTGAAAGAACCCAAAAGTCAATACATTTCCTTGAGTCACTTGTAAAAAAAGTGACAACACAATAAAGTTAGAAATGACCCCATTTTTGTTAACATCTGTCACAGGAAACAACAAAGTCAGCTACTAGATTTATATCAAAATTATTTTGTTGTATATCGATGTTAAAATATAACAAAACTTTTCCAAAATAAAAATGACTTCTTCCTATCTTTTATATATCTAGCGTCACCTATGGTGACGACAGATATATAATTAATTCCAAATGGTGACATTCCAGGACCTTTCTCTTTAATAGAATAAAAAGACTACTTCCAATTGCACGAAGATGTTTAACAAGAATTGTTTAAAAATACAGCCAATTCTTTCTTTTTCGATAAATCAGTTAAGATTTTGATTAAGATTGAATTATTAAGATTAAATTATTATGACATTGTCGACAATGTCCAATCAAGGTAAAAACTGATTTTAAACTGTCTGTGCCAAAAAAAATAAAGCATGAAAGCAATTCCTTTTGAATTATAACTTTTACTATTATTACTGCTGTGTGATAACTTTTTTGATGATGTTAATGTCAAGATTTTCGATTGAGTTAAATTAGTGATTTTTGATTGAGAAGTCATTGAGAAGTCATTGTGATTTTTGATTGAGAAGTGATTAAGAAGTGATTAAGAAGTCATTGTTTTGCAGACTGTTGATACTGAAGAAAATTGATATCCTCTGGAATATTTTTTATAAATAACCTGTTACCACTTGCTTTTTCTTTTACCACTTGCTTTTCTTCTCAAACTTAAATTATATCATTTTTTTCTCATAAAAAATGCACGAGGAAAATAAAGTAAAACACAAGGCTTTTAGTTTTTCTATAAGTAATATATAGAAAGATTATAATTGTTCTTAAATAATGGCTTATTCTGGTAAACAAACATGAACAGTTACTGGCAGCAGTGTTAATTTATTAACTTAATTAACTTAATCGATTTTAATTAACTTAATCGAAATTAACTTAATCGATATCAAGAGTATATGGCGCAACACTCTAAGACACCTATTTTCTAATATAAACAACCCGTCGCTAAGGCTGTTGTTAAAAAAAAAAAAAATTAACTTCATTACTCTATTAAAAAAAACTCTATTATTCATTACTCTATATAAAAATTTAACTTCATTACCAACTTGCTATTTTAGAGCATTTTTAAAATCATTTGCTATATAATCTCTATAAATTTGGAATGTCGAATGTTTGGGTTTCAAGAATATATAATTTTTGAAAAATAGCTTTTTTCGATTTTTTTAAGTTTTTTGTTTTTAAAGTGGTCCTACCACCTTGAAAACAAAAAAACTATTAGTTAATTTCTCTGTTACACAACATAATAATGATTATTACCCCGCTCCAATACCTACATGTAGATTTTTTGGAAGACCCCGCACTGAACAACATTCCAAGTTTAACATGTTTTTTAATTTTAAAAACATTGAATCTTTTTTTGAGTTTTGAGTTAAACAAAAAAACGAAAACGATTTACTTTTTCAAATAATTGATAAAACTTCATTTAAAAACATAAAACTACATTTAATTAATAAATAAAAAAGTGTTTTGCAATCCACATTTGACACGACTCTAATGCAAACAGTCTTAAAATTTAAACGAAGATAAATTACTAAAATATATAACCTAAATTCTCCCATCCTGCAAGTAATAACAAACCATTATAGTTACACATCAACCATGTTATCGATCCATCCCCATGCAATTATCGATATTCGCCCTTTGTTGTGATATTTATCAGGAGGAACCTGGTAAAAAAATATTAAAGCGTCTTTTTAAAATAAATCAACGTCTTAATAAGATATATCAAGATATATCAACGATATCTCAAGATATATCAACGATATATCTCAAAGATATATCTTAAAGATATATCTCCAAGAAATATCTCAAAGATATATCTCACAGATATATCAAAAGATATATCTCAAAGATATATCAACGTCATTATAAGATATATCTAGCGTCTCTATAAGATATATCAACAACGAAAACAACAAATAAATATAAGCATATATTACAGGGCTTTATTTAGAAGTTAGTGAATGGATTTTCCAATAGGCGTAAATTATTAAATCTGAATTAATTTAATGCGTTTAACCGCTTTCAAGCGTATTTGCCTTTTACATATACAACTCAATACTAAATACGGCGTTGCTTACTTGCAAAATTCCATGCCGCCATATAATATTCACATCCTTTCCAAATGTGTAAATAGTTCCATTGGGCTGAGGCAAAGAAATTATCGTCTTTGTTTGAGCATGCTCAAAGGCTGCGTCTCTTTCGGCACCAAAAGAAACAGCGACGGTTAAATTCTGAGATCGTGCCTTATCTGCTTTAATTGCTGCTGCGTCATGATGAAAAGGTTTCCATTCATTGGAATCGCGATACCAATTCAAACGCGTTGCTAAAAACATACATTTACTAAAAAAAGTTAAAATAATTATGATTTTTAGTTTAATAGGTTCTGGCACTTACACTTTCAAATAATGCTTTAAAAAAATGCTAACAACCATAAATCCGACTTTTACTATAGTCCTTGAGCGCAAAACAAAACTTTACTAATTTTTTTTATTTATTGTGATTGCATATATAAAAAGATTTTGTTTAGTAATTTTTCTGATTTTAAAATTGTTTACAATTATGAAATCAGAAAATCTACTGAACAAACCTCGCAACCTCGTACCTCGCAACAATACAATCTTATATTATGTACCTCGCAACATGTTATATCTCATTTTCTGCCTAATGATCGTCCATAAAATACGTAACGCAAAATTTTATAATAATCAAAACAAAAAACGATCTAATCTTTTTTCTCGCAGTCTTAATTTAAATCAAAATCAAAATAGGAAACTAAGTTGAAAATCGCCGCGTAAAAGAGCTTAATACCCGGCACTTCTGTTTTTAAAATATTTTTTGCGTAAATTATAGACGATCCTTTAATAAAATACCTATGCTTCTTCCTTAATTTTCTATTATAGACAAAGGAAATACATGAACACCAGAAACACAGAAAATGTTAACTTATCCTTTTATGTTTTCAAAGTGGAAACAGTAAACTAATTTTATAAAAAGAAAACATAATTTTAAACTTACTATTATAAGTATTACTGTCATTACAAATTTTTATTTGTTTAATTTATTATCATTTATTTTCTTTTTTATGTGTGATATGTATCTAATTAAATATATAGGTTTTAATAAATAAATTGTTTCTAAAGGGATATTTATATCATTTATTAAATATGCCGAAGACGGCTTTTGATAACATGCAGCAACAGGAAACAGAGGGAGAGCATATGGGGACAAACAATTAGGCAAACAGTATTTATTTTTTTTAGATAATCGTTAAAATGTATTTAATGTTAAAAAAATATTCTGAAATACCACTAAGATCGATAAATTCTGTAAGACACAGCAGCTAAAATTTTTACTTGATATCAACAACAACAAAATCAGTTAAAATTGACAAACGTTTAGTGTAAACAGGCTTTAATAATCGCCGACAAGATAAATCTCATTTTGTGGAAAACAAGATTATATTGTAACCAGGGCCGGCGCGAGTAGGTGTCACGTAAAGAAGGGGGGGGGGGAGCCCATTACAACTTTTGCCGACTGAAAAAAAAAAAAAAGGTCCTCGTTTTCCAAAAAATTTGCCGACTATCATGACGACATTTGCCAACTGTCTAACCTATATCGAAAAGGTCGACATTTGCCGACTAACTAGTCTATTTTAGTCTTGCCGACAGAAAATCATTGATGGGGAAGGAAGGGGGGTATGACACCCCCCACACCCCCCTATCGCGCCGGCCTTGATTGTAACATAAAAAACTCCACCCCTCCCCTGTTTATTAAATCTGGACTAAAATTACCACCCCCTCCCTTGTATTAGGGACTTGAGTGAAGCAAATAAAAAAATTAATCAACAGCATTATAAAATGGACATTTTTTGCAATATGGGTATGCATGTTGATTACAAATGACTGAAAAAGTCGATAAGTTGAGTTCCCTTTTTGCTAACTCCTGGCCCACATAATACTATAAATTATTAATTTTATAAAAACTAATTTCATAATTGGATATGTATAATGGCATTTCTTAATAACCTATTAAATATTGAAAATCAATGACGTTTTTTTTTTGAACTTTTTTCTTATTATTTTAATTCCATAATACCAAACCCATTTTATTTTAGGCTATATTATAATCTCAATTTCCGATTGACAAAACAAAATTTTGCCTGCATAACTATTACGATATGGTATTTAAAAATATATATGATAGATTATAATAATACAAGCACCTTAGTAATATGAGCATACCAAAAGATTTCTATGATGTAAGCAGTGAAGTTAAAGTTGCTTTGTATTTTTTGAATTGAATCAGTATAGTTAGCGTAAATTTATATGCAGTAATTAGCGGCTCTCATTTAATTAAAACGCTATTTTTTGAGTTTTTAAAATATTATCATGACGCATAAATTTTGTGGCGCAGAATTTTAGTGCAAAAATAATGCAATTTAATTTTTCATTAAGTAAAATGTTAGCTAGAAATCCGTTCCATTTTTGTTTGAAAAACAATGCATAGAAACATTTAGTTGTGACTTTATTCAAAGATATCATTTTTATGTAATATGCATTTTTATGTATATGCAACCCTGGGTAATTTGTATGCTCAAATACCCAGTGTTTTTCGTTTAAAAGGTAAAAATTCCGAAAATCGCAGTGGTTTTAATCAATTTTCAAATAAAAAAAAGACTAAATATTTTTATAATAATACTAAATGTTTTTCTGTAATTTAAATTTAAAAAATATGAATTCTTATCGTTCAAAAGTTTGAGTTAATAAATTGATAAAGTAACGACCTAATTTTTTGATGCGGAAAACAAAGTAGTATTGTTTCAATTAAAAGTGGTTTAAAACTTGATTTTTCAATGATAAGTTTTGTTAATAACGAATCATTATACTCTAATAATTAGTTTTAATGGTAAGGTTATTATTTTTTTACTTAATTTATGTTTTTTTTCTGAGCTAACTTAAAGTGCTCATATTACCAAGTGGTCTGGGCACTTTAGCTACTTTGTTTAAAACCTGTGTTTTTAATAAAAAATTTCGGGCGCCAAAATCTAAGTGGATCATGAGTAGTGATCCCTAAATATTCTTTATTCGCAAAAATTTTAAATTCAGTATAATTTTTTTTTTGAAAAAAGCTCCAGTTTTTGCTTAAGGTGCTCGTATTACCCTAATCTACCCTATTTATAAATTCTGTAAAATGCAACTGTTTAAAAATCAATGAACTTGCAAAAATTGCAAAATTTTTATTTTACATATTTATTGGAAAAACTAATTGGTATCGATATAGTAAACAATTTTCTCTAGATGTTTGGTGCCACATTTGGTGCAGGAGGTATTGTAGATCGACCATAATTGTTACTTTAATAGTTAAGAATTATAACCATTATAGAAAATTCATTATTTTTTGTATTTGGATTTGCTTGCAAAAAACCTCTAATTAGGCAGTGCTTATTGCACAGATACTTAAAAGTTTCAGTTTATTACCTACATTTGTTTACAAAAGACTTACACAGGGTTAAGAAAATTATTTAATTTTACAGCTAAATCTAGTATAAGAAAACAAAATAAAAAATTGAAGGTGATTGGTCATTTGGCTGGGTAACACATAGAACTGATGGTAAAGTAATTTTTTTGGCTGGTCATTTAAAAAATTCACGATTTTTTTTAATTATAAAATTTAAGTTTTTTTTTAAATACATCGTTGTTTGTAAAAACCTTTATTTTTCTTTACTCTTTGTTAAGCTAAGATTTTGAAAAATAACTAAAATCTTTGATTATTTTGGGCAATTTTAATTCACCTCCTCAATGCCACGAAGGCTACTACAGACGTGGAGGCTACTTTAGTTGCAGTTACAACCCTCTATTTACTCCGAACCACGAAACATCTTGACAAACAAGGCCAAAGAAACAAGTTAAAATTAAATGCTGATTATATATTTAATAAATTATCAATAATTTTTAAAAATATTTAAATGATAAAAAACATGTTTTGTGACAACAAATAGTAAATACTCCGAGTAATATAACCTAAGGTTGTATAAAGTGTACACCACCTTAAGTTATATTGTTAGGAGCATAGTTAAAAAAATAAAAATGAAAACGAATACCTTTAATATCCATTTGAAAAAAATCTCTAATTTTATCAAGAACCATAAGAAATGTAGGACAGAACTGTTTCCATTTTTTTTTGTCATCAGCAATCATATGGCTATCACCATGCCACAACTGCCATAAGTCCATTGATTCCACTCCACATTTTTCCGTTTCAGATATAAGCTTCTCATAAATGGCTAAATCTTGAAAATCACAAAAAAGATCATTAACAATAAGAAGATCTCTAGAGGTTATTTCTCGAGAATATCTATGGCAACCAGGAGGAGAAATTAATATGCGCATTTCAGGAGGTTTATGAGAAGGTTTAAATGTTTCGGTATTCCTCTTATTAGAAAACTCGTTTGTATGCTGGTAATAGTCGCTTCTTTGTTGATGTTTTTGTAGTGATGCAAGAGGTTGATATTTTAGATCATTAGACCATACATTTTTTTGCTCACTATGTGTCTCATTGGACCAGCCACTTTTTTGTTCACCAAATGTTTCGTTAGCATTTACAAGTTCACTATGAACTTTAGATGAATTTTTTTTTTCATTTTTGGTTGTATACAGGTGGTTATTAACGACACGTCTTCGATTTTTTGGAATGTCTTCATGTGTTATATTTACTTTTCTTACTGCATCAGTTAATGTATTAATATCTGATTTTTGGGATTGCTTTTCAGAATTTCTTTCTTCCGAGTTAATCATTACTATTTATAATCAATTTATCCATAATAAACCTCATATAATAAGCATTTTTATATTAAAATATTTTATTCTATTTTAAAGTAATGACTTTATAATATTATATATTTTATAGCCATTTTTAAGTAAAGTTTGTGATATATATTTCACAAAAATTAGTGATAAATATTTTATGAAAAAATAGATATATACTTTATGGAAATAGTGATACATATTTTAAAATATGGTTAATAATGCCTATATTAAAATTAAAAAACAAAAATTGATGTTTTTGAATCATTGATTTAATTAATATTTATTATTATAAATAATTTTATGTCAAATCAGCAGAAAAAACAAAAAATGTCACCCCACCATTTGATTTTTGCTTATTGATTTATATGTTATAGGGTTTATAAAATTTAGGAAAATCTGAAATATGGAACCTCCAACTTCTTATGGTTCTTAAGATATTCACAGGCCTCATTTTTCGGATCACCCCCCCCCACCCACAATTTTTAAAATTATTTTTTGTAATAGACCAACATTTTTTAAAGTATAAAAATTCCAAATGCATTTGTAAAAGAGTATTTTTAATAATTTTTACTTATAAAAGACTTTTTTTTCGTCTTTTATAAATAAAACCTTTTATTTCTTCATTATTTTATTTTTGTTACTGTTTAGATTCCATGTTGGAAATATTAGTTTCCTATTACTTTGCAGGACTTTTATATTTACCTAACTAATTAACGAAAGTTATATGATTATATATACAATTGTAATGTTATAATATATATATGGTAAATAAAATAAAATTTAACTAACTTTCCATCATGTATAAGAGGAAGTCATATAATGTAGCACATCCAATCACATGAAATGTATAAATAATTTACCATAAACTAAATAATGTTAAAGGTTTTTCTAAAAAAGATTAATTTTGTAAAATATTTAAAAATTAGATTTTTTGAATAAATTTAAAAGTTAGAAAATTGATAAGAATGGATAAGAATTGGATAAGAATGAAATGTCACATGTAAGGTTTAACAAGAAGACAAGGTCTTCTAAACCTATCAACATTTTCAAGTGATGAAAAATATGAATTATTATAGAGAGCTAGTTAATTTGAATTGGAATATTAGTATATATATAGAATATAGTTAATTGGAAAATGGTGTAATCTATTTTAAAAATATGGAAATCTAAAAATAAACACGAAAGACAAATTTGATAACTAGAATGAAATACATATATATATATATATATATATATATATATATATATATATATATATATATATATATATATATATATATATATATATATATATATATATATATATATATATATATATATAGATATAGATATATATATAAATGCTTTTGAAGAAGAAAGTTTAAATCTTTTTACCTATTTACAGTTTAATTTAACTTATAAACTAATAAATATTATAACAGGTTCTTAACAATGATGCCTAGTTGATATCAGTTTTTAGAAATGATTTTTTTTAATAGGAAAGTGGAAATATCGCATAAAAAAAAAAAAAAATTAATATCAAATGATTAATGCTATAGTAGGATTGAGCCTGAAAAAGACTAATCTCTCAATTAACGTCTTAAATCTCATAGTGTATCACCTAATAAGCTTAAATCAGTGTCAAAACACCTGCTAAAACAGCTGCCAAATGAAAATTTGATCATATAACTGAAGAAACAACAAACAAAATAAATAAAGCTTATATTATTGATCCTATGATTAGATTGACACCTCTAACTTCTTCAATTGATAATCATAAAAATGATTTTATGATATTAGATTGACACCATCTCATACACCACTACCTTATTCAATTGATAATCATAAAATTGACAATCTAAACTTACTTTTAAATGAATTAAAAAATAAAATAAAAAAAGTGACATCATACTTTGCAAAAATACAGATATTACCATTAACTCCAGAATCATGGTCACTCTCAAAACCTGTAGAAACTTTACGAGAAGCTAGAAAAGCTTTTAGTAATATAAAATGCTTCACAAACAAATGCTGATCACACAATTAACATATGCTAATCACACAATTAACCTTGTGCAGATACCAAATGAGCTGGTTGTGCAGCAGGTCATTTATAATTATATAGATTAAGTAGCTTGCAAGTACAACAACCTTAGGTTGATTGGAATTATAGCCAAAAAAGATAAAAGGAAAAAAGATTATAAAGTTTAATTTATGCATCCACATAGTCCCAGCCCAAGTTTTTCTTGGTCTGCATGGAAAGATGTGTCGGGTCCCATCAAATCATGTTTTATGTATCATTGATCCTCCATCTAAAACAAATGATCAAATATATAAAATTTCAGAAATTAAGATTTTTGAAATTGAGCAAAAAAATAAAAAAATTAAAAAATTTTAAATGCATTATTATTTTTATAAACGTATGTTTTTTTTTCAAATATAGCTAAGATATAACTTTATGTGATTATGTGTAATTGGCAAAACTTATCTTATAAAAAAAGGTCATTTGCCTTTATGTTTCTCTTAGTCATTTATCTTTATGTTTTTAACAACATAAAAAAAAAGGAACAGGGGTTTAGTAAAATACTTAATTACTCCCTCCACCCAGACCATGAGTCCTTCCCAGGTACAAAAAAAAACTAGAAATGAAGTATAAATTTATTATTACCTTCAAAAAGACTTTAACAATAATTTTTATCAAACATCTCCATTAATAAAAAATAATATATATAAAAGGCTTATAGTAGGCTGCTGCGTAGGCGCAGCTTACTATAAGCCTTTTATAATAATTTATTGCTAACTTATTTACAACAAAAGTAGCTATATCTTATTTCTTATTTTATGTTCTCAACATAAAATTAAGATATAGCTAATTTTTTCATAAATAAGTCAGCAATAAATTTTACGTCAACTCAGTGGATAAGCTTTACTTAAAAAGCTATATTTAGAATAGTCGAAAAATGCAGTAATATATTTTTTATTAATAGTGATGTTTGATATCTACAAGTTATAAAAATGCATCAAATTTTTTTTTTATTTGCATGTAATGAAGGTGGTCTAAAAAAATTTTAATTTGAAATTTGTATCCGCCACGTGGAAGATTGTCTTTGTACAAAGACGATACCTCTTATTGTTCATAAAATATTACTATTTAACAATAAAAAACTTTTTTGTTGTTAAATAGCAATTTAACAACCAAAAAATTTTCATAAATCCTATAACATATAAAAAAATTGACAAAATCTAAACCATTGGGTCACACAAGTCTGCTGATTTGACATGGAATTACCTATAGGTGATATAAAATAGAAAAAAAAAAAAAAAAAATAAGAGACAGGTTTTATATTTTTAAATCATTCACTTAAATATTTTTTCAAAATAATTTAAAATTAACTACTATTAATCAAGAAGTCACCAAAAAATCGACTTTACAAAATTTACTAAAAATTAGTTGATTCACCAAGTAAATTCACCAAAACGTTGAACAACCTCATCTTGATGTGTCAAGTCTTTCTGAACTTTTTTTCGCATATAAAATATTGGACAGTCGCTACTATAGTATAAATTAAAACGTTTAAATCTTTTAATTAATAAAAAAAAGTGCCACACAATTCTACACATTTATTACAAAAATATATAAAAATTTTACAACTTTTTTAACAAAAATTAATAATACAAACTTGCATTTATTAAAAATAATTTTACAACTAATTTTAGTGTCTAGCTTTTTACATTTCATTACAAAAGATTTTTACAGGTTGCACACAAACCAACCTTACAGGATACACAACGGTTTATCTTAACCTTTTAAATATTTTTTTGATATTCTAAAACAAATAAAGTAAAAAAAAAAAAAAGGAGTAGCATCTGGGGGTGAAAATTTTTTTTCTCCGGGCTAGTTGGCTAATAGTATTTACTATGAAATAAAAATACATTTTTATAAAATTAAATTTTTTTTTAGATTTGTAATTACAAAAATTGTTTTTTACAAAAAAATTAAAAATTTTTGGTTTACTGTTTGGAATCGTCCATAAATTACAAAACATAAAGTTTCACAGTAAACAAAGCAAAAAAAAGATTAAAAGTTTTCCCTAGCAGAGTCCTTATTTAAATAATTAATCAAAATAGAAAATTAAGTTAAATGAAGATTGCCGCGTAAAAGTGCTTAATATCTCCTACTTTTGTGTTTAAAATATTGTTTGCATTGCATAATTTATGGGCGATCCATTTTGGCTTATAAAAATATTATTTGCTACCAACCTAAAGTAGCAATAGTATCTGGCATAAAATTGTAGCAAAAATAATATAAAATTTTTTGTAAACTTTACTCTTAATTTTCTTTATTAATATTGATTTTAACAAGCAACAAAATATGTGTCTGGTATTAAAAAAAAAAGGTCCCTAAAAAACAAGTAGTGTGGAATAAAATTAGTTAATTTTACAATTGACAACAAACTTTACTTTTAATTTTAAATGTTACCTTCACTTGAACTTATTTATAATTTATTTTAACTGTTCAAGTTTTACTTTTTATTTAATTATTTTCTCTGGGTTATAATTAATTTGTAATTATAAGTATGTTTTGCTGAATTTTATAAATTTTATGTGCTTTTAATTTTGCATACAATTGGTTGATTATGATCAATTTTTATTTAAAATCGTTTCATGTCTAAGTTGCTTAAGTATAATGGAAAAAAATTGAAAAAAAAAATCATCAAAAAGTAATAAAAGAATGTAAAAAAAATTAAAAGAAGAATGTAAAACTATAAGTACTCCCAACATGCTAGAACTTGAACTTGGGTACTAAAGTACTCCCAACATGCTAGAACTTGAACTTGGGTACTAAAGTACTCCCAACATGCTAGAACTTGAACTTGGGTACTAAAGTACTCCCAACATGCTAGAACTTGAACTTGGGTACTAAAGTACTCCCAACATGCTAGAACTTGAACTTGGGTACTAAAGTACTGGGTACTAAAGAACTTGAACTTGGGGTTAGATCACAAATAGAGGAACAACTTTCTTTCATTCACTTCAGATCTTCATTCACCTCACCATCTTCTCTCTTTTTCTTACCTCCAATTTTATCAAATTAACTAAAATTAATTCCGGTGCAAATGCAATTAATGTGCAACAGTGCTACTGATAATATTTTTGCAGATCTTAAACCAAAATCAGATAAAACCATATCAAAAAAGAAAAGTATTCTATTGACTTTGAAAAAAATAGATTTAACCAAAAGTTAAAAAAAAAAAAAAAACTTGAAACATGCAAGGTATGCGCACTGCAAAATAATGATCAAATTATCATTTTTGCGTCATCAATTTTGCGTCAAAAAGTTCTTTATCCTTTAGTTTTAAAAAGAAAACCTATAAATATATTTGTATTTTATTTTTTCTTCATAAGATTTTGATCAATTTGACAATACTAAATAACCTAAACAACTTAAAGAAGAAATTAAAATAAAGCCATTAACTTTTGCCAAAAAATTGTTTAAAAAATAAATTAACAAATCACAAACAAATTTTTGTTAATTTAAATAAGTTAGATACAATTGTTATGTGATTTGTTTGGCAAAAAACTTGACCAACAGAAAATTTTTTTTCAGAAAAAGCTCATGTTCTTATAAAGGTTTTTAAAAAACCTTCATAAGAACATGAGCTTTTTCCAATGGCACAATACCAAGAGAATCTTGGTCCAACCATTTCTAGAGGATAGTATTGATAAGAATTTGCCAGATTTTTTGCGAATTGTTGAGTAAAACAATAAAAGACATAAACATTGCTAACAAGGCATAAATATTAGCAATATTTTTTGCTAATTACTATGCAACAACTGGTTTGCAGAAAAATCTTGATACTAAATTTCCTAATTCATTTTTGATAATTTGTCTGCACCTAGATAATTAGATAATCTATAGTTAAATGCTTATTTTTCAATCTCCGCTATCTCTTTGGGAAAAGACTTATTTTTAAAGGAAAGGCTGCATCTCAAACAAATACTTAAAGATATTTAACATCAGTATTTTACATTTTTTCACAATTTGAAATGCCTCATTTATTTTCATTATTTACAAAATTAGGATTACAGCTTAAATAAACACCTCAAATTGCTATTTAAATAAAAATCTTCTGCTATTTAACATTGTAAATTAACAACTATTGTGCAGTCAAATTTTGAGTATATTGATAATGAATGTGCAGTCAAGTTTTATGGAACTAGCAATAATAGCTCGTTTGAGCAGCGACCATGATAGTGTTTGTTGAAAAAAGAAATAGAAGCAAATTTACAATGATGAAAGAGATGCTTAAGCTTAACAGATAGAGCTGGTCTAACTACTTTTACAATTCATTTTTTGACTTTGTCTAGAAGAGAAAGAGCATCATTAAAAGAGCCAGCTTAAATATTACAACAGTATTCTATAAAAAGGCAAATAAGAAATTGTAGAGATAGAGAATGAAACCATGAGTAAGAAAACAGAAAGCACAATTAAATGAAACAACCTTAATAGATGCTAATTTAGCAATCAATTGTGTATATGGCTGCCATTAAAGGTCAGTAGTAAACAATAATTCAAAATGACGTAAAGAAAAGGATTTGGTGAGAGAATTGTCATTCATCAATATAAGAATGACAACATTATTGGAAAAGTTGTCTGCAGTAAATAACCTTTGATAACAAGAGTATTGCAATACTTTATCATGCGATCATGTAGTTTGTCATCAAAGACAAAACATATTGCATTTGTTTACTGAGTAATAAACTACAGTTGGATGCAAACTTGGTTTGTTTTTTTGTTACAACAAAAATTTTGTATTTAGCCGTGCATAACAATTTTGTAATTTGTTGCAAAATCACTATCACTTCAGTACTTTTTTTTTGAATATTTTATTAAACTAGTTTATCTTTTTGCTGAATAAAAATGGCCTGTATGTTTTTGTAACAGGTTTATCAGAATATCAATAAAATTAACTTAGTTAGTTTTAGTAAATTATTAAATCAGTAGTCTTCTATTGTTTGTAAAAGCTAATCTTTTAACCTTCAAAATCTTTTTTAACAAATTTTTTAATTTTTTCTAACTATTTGAAAAATTTTGTCAAAAAAGATTGCTGGTCAAAGTCACAATATGTATTATACTCATCTTTAGTATCATCTTTTTTGAAACAATAGTAAACAATATATTATACAAATTCTGTTAGCTTCACATCAAAAAAGCATACCAATATTCTAAGGTGCTATTAAAGAGAAAGTTTGAGGGAAAAGCCATGTATGGAAATTTATTATTAAGGAAAAAGTAGGAGGGGGATAGAGTGAAAAACTTCTAAAAGGAGGCAGAGTATTAATACTGGCTGTAACTTCCTTGATAGTAGTGAACCATCTAGTCTCAATACCACAAACTGTTACACTGGTATAGAGTACACTACTTTCTAAATGGTACACTCTAAAAGCAAGAAATAGAAAATATAAAATAAAATAAAAACCCTTTTTGACTATAGTGACATTTATGGTCTGGGGAAGGTGAGCTAAACTTGTTTTTACGGTTGGCCTCTATATGGCAATTAGCCGGAGGAGGATAAACCATAATACCTAATGAGAAATAAATTCTAAAAAAAAAAAAAAAATTTTGGATGCATATATCCGTTAGAGTGTAGAGGTTAATTAACCTCTACACTCTAACATATATATGATACATAAATTTGTAAAAAATAAAAACTTCATTTATATAGAAAGCAATTTAATAGATAGTATTAAAGCTTATAAACCTCTACACTCTAACAGATATATGCGTCCAGATTTTTTTAATGGTTTTTTTTTTCTAATTTTTGAAAGAAAAAAAAATAAAGGTAATCGTGTTCTATAACTGTAAAATAAAACTAAAATCTAGGGGAGATAAATACTGTAACTATTTTTAAACAGGTATACCTTTATTAAATATTATATACTACAAATAATATTGTTTTTTTTTAAATAAAACTTTTAAAAAATAAATCAAATATATATATTTTTTTATATACACCAACACTCACATACGCAGATTGATACATATAATAAAAACCAAATTCAAACTGTTTACAAGAATATTAAACTGTAAACAATAAACAAATTTTAGGAGTAAAGTTTTCAATTTCTTAAGTGCAAGCATCTTATTATATAAAAATACAAAAAATAAGCCAACCTTGTACACAATACTTCTTCAATTAAACTTCCTTGACATCGTTGACACTGTGTCCAAAGTTTGTTAAACTTTTCTTCTAGAGAATAAAGCGTTGACATTTCTTTTTGAAACAGTTCTGATTCTTTTGGTTTGCAGTAGTCACAAACGGCAGAATTTTCTTTGAAAAACAAATAAACACTTCTACTTAAAATTTTTTTTTTTCAATGCATACTAATGCAGTTTAATGTATACAATGCATACTAATGCAATTTAACGCATACTAATTTTCAGAACATTCTATGAAATTTAAAAAATATATCAAGAATTTATATTACTTTTTAAAAATCATTGTTAAATTTCTTGTAACAAATTTTTCTTTTGAAGTAATTAGGATAAATAATGTATCAATATACTATAAATAATTTCTTACATAATGCAAATAATAAACTATTACATAATAAAAAAGACAACATAAAAAACTTTTAACACTACATGAACTTATTATAATTACAGAAGTGCATTTGTCAGACAAAAAACTATTTTAGAAATGTGAAGAAAAACTTTTGTTGGCATGTTTAACTTTTCAATCCTCTCAAATTTAATACTTTGCTTAATTTTTTTTAAAGATTCCGACATCAAACAATAATTTTATGTTCGCCAAAAAAACATCCATCCATAACTGTAATTTACTTCTTTATTAATCATAAAATATTTAAACAAATTATAAAAAAAAAAAATTATAAGCAATTGTTATTTTATATTCAATTGATTATATTCAATTATATTCAATTGATAGTCAAAATACTAAGGTGAACAGGAGTGTTTTATTTAAAAATGTGCTAACCCTGGTCTCTAGAATTTTTTCATCCACTTAATTCAATGGTTCATATAATATTCAACAATATATTAGCTTTCTGAATATGAATAGAACTAATAAAAAAAACTGAATCAATCACATCACAATCACATTACAATCACTAGGCTGATAAAATACTCTTTATTATCTTTCTCAATAATTTTTAATCAATATTGGTCCACTGGTTCTAATCAACTATTTTGTCAGCGAATAGTCTTGTTGATCCATTTAAAGAGTTTTCTCCAAATGATCCAATGAAAAAGATTAAATAAAAATGGATGCACATTTTTGATTAATGCAACAAATTTTTCTTTCCAGACCTTATTTGCACAATACTTTTTATATTTCATTCTTTATGTATAGAATGACTCAATAAAACCAACTGTGGTCTTTTTTTGTTGATTTTATTTGTTGGTCAGACAAAAAACCTTCTCAAACTATTTTAGGTGTTGTGATGAATGCTGTGCGTTGGGATAATTTTCAAGGCTCATTGGTTGAGTCTTTACCTTCACTTACAACAGCATACAACCAAGTTTTATGTTGTTGTAAGTCAGAGTTTTTATAAATTTTTAATAACTTTTTAATAAACTTATTTTGCATTTACTTCTTTAAAAAATAAAAATCACTGATATTTTATATTTTTAACACTAAAAAAAAATACACTAGCTCAATTCAGCTATTGATTTGTAAAAAATTGATACATCTAAAACTTGACATGAGTTTGCAAATAAAGACTTGACACATCTAAAACTTGACATGAGTTTGTGAACAAAGACTTGGCACATTTAAAACATCACATGACCTTGTTAACAAAGACTTGACACATCTAAAACTTCACATGAGTCTTTGAACAAAGACTAGACACATCTAAAACTTCACATGAATTTGTGAACAAAGACTTGACATATCTAAAACTTCACATGAGTTTGTGAACAAAAAGTTGACACATCTAAAACTTCACATGGTTGTAAAAAATTTGTAAAAAAAACTTGACACATTTAAAATTCACATGAGTTAATACTAAGTTCTACCTGTTAAATAAAAAATTAAATATTGTAATATATTTAAAAATAAAAAAACAAATATATGAATATCCAGCGTTTGGAATTCGAAAAAATGAGGTTGGCAATAATTTGCTAACCTTAATTTGTTAGAGGTCGGCATCAGATCGGCAAAAAAAATTTGATACTAAGATTTTACCATAAAACAATTTCAACAATTTTTTGACAACCTTAAACACTTTTAGGTCAGCAGTTATGCATATGCATATGCGGTAATGGTGTATTGGTAGAGCGCTTGCTTCATAAGCGAGAGGTTCCAAGTTTGATTTCCACCATGTCCCTGGTAGTACCGCGCTTAACTTGTTTCTCTGGGCAGTGGCCTAAATTGTCAAGGCTTGTGTTTCGGAGTTATAGAGTTGAGAGAGTGTTATAACCACAAGTAGCCTCCTCATCTGTAGTGGCTCTCAGCCTTGGGGAGGTGAATAAAAAAATAAAAAATACTGAATGTTGACCGTTATTCTAAGGGTTGAATACCTGTTTTAGAAATGATTTAAAAATTGATAAAATACTTTTCGTTAAAATTTATGATTGTTATTTTTTAATTGTTAACAAGTAAATAAAGTAATATATGAATAGTAATTATACAAACATACTTAAATATATAATTATATAAAAACTAAAAAACCTTTAGCGCTTTGTTTACCTTTTCCTTTTGCAAGCACAGCTTTACAGTGGATACAAGTAGCCATCTTCTTTGCAAACTTTGCTAAACCGCCAACCTTTGCTGTTATAACTGTTTTCACTAGGGTGTGTTCACCTTCTATAAAAAAATGTTTAAGTAACCTTTTGTTAACAAAAACTTAAAAATTTAAAAACCAAATTATATTTAAACTAATATAGAAACTAAGAAAAGCATAAAAAAATTTAACAAATGATATCAACTAAATACTAAGAAATATTAGTTGATAAAAATAACAAAATATTTCTTAAGTATTCACAAAGCTAACAAAACACTTCAAAAAACTAAAGACAGTAAAACTAAAATTTAAAAAATTGTTTTACTAAATAAAAGATCTGCCGCTTTATTTTCTCCAAGTATTGGCTCGAATATGCGCAGCAATGGTTTCATAAGTTGATGCTCAAGATAATGTTTTGTATCGATTGGGACATTATTTTCTAACACATAGATTGGATCCTAAAAAAAGAATATGATTATTAAATAAATTTAAAAAAACAATAAATACTAAACAATCATTCTAACAGATTTAAAAATAAGATCAAAAAAATTCTCACTTCAGCTTTCTCATAACCTTTGGCACCTTTTACGCCAGCAATAATGACATAAGGAACTCGATCGCCAAGTTTAGGAGCTGAACCTGCATCACGTTTTTTCATCCTAAACATGATAAAAAATTATTAGTAATCAAGATATATTTCAATTTAAAACATTAAAAAAGGAAATTTGAAAAAAAGTAATAAATTAAAAGTAAAAAAAAAAAAAAATGAGTGAAATACTTCTCTGCAAGAGCAGAATGAGCCTGCTTATTACCATACTCTTCTTCAGTTTTTGTCAATTCTTTTGTAATAACTAGCTCTGATATATCAATTCTATTACACAACAGATCAGATATTACTTGTTTTGTATATACCACAGCGCCTTCAGGATCTCTGACAAAATAGTATATAATAAAGTATATAATAAAGTTGAAATTTTATAGCAAATATTGAAGTCCACAAATAAGCAACATGTTGTAGATCTGAATACTAAGTAATTAAAAAACATACAAACATGTGTGTTATAGGTGTGTGTGTGTGTGTGTGTGTGTGTGTGTGTGTGTGTGTGTGTGTGTGTGTGTGTAATATTATTCTCTTACACACACACACACACACACACACACACACACACACACACACACACACACACACACACACACACACACACACACTTCTAGTTATAGCTAATCTATGTGAATTTAGACTGTTCTAGTTTAAATGATTAGTACTGAGATCCATTTCAGTTTATTTATTATTTTGTATCTATATAGTTATAGGGTGAGAGAAGTCATTTTAAAAAAAGGTTGTTTTTTTACCGAACATAACTAACTTAAGTCATCCTAGTTAATTATTTTCTTTATCCCTAGTTTGTCAACATACCTAAATTTTGTTTATTAAAACAAAATTAATAAAATCTTTAATTTTTTAAATTTGTTTTATATAGTTGTATAATCTTTGTTTCAAAAGAGACATAAAAAAGTGGGTTTTAAACTATGATTAGTAGCAAAGAACCATACTAATTTGGCAGATTACATAGAAAAATTACTGTACTTTGGTACATTTTTTGCTTATTTTATACAATAAATTTTTAATTTTTTTATATTTTGAGAAACCAAAAATATGATTTTAACAATAAAGAAATAATAACCACTTTATTAATAAGAAAAAAAAAAAAAAAAAACTTTTTTTCATCCTTCTTTTTTCTTTACTTTCCTTGTTTTAATTTTTTTTTCTGAGAATTAGAGAAAGTTAATCTTGAATGACAATTTTAAAAAACATCAAATCACAAAGAACTTTTTACTGCACTGTCACATCACTAGTCACAATATCTATTGCAGTTAAAATGTCAAAATGCCTTTTACAATGTCTGTTACAGTCACATCACTTGTCAAAATGTCTGTTACAGTCAATAATACAATTAATGCTTAAAAAAAAATTAAAACCTGTCAATTAAGAGTTTTTGTAGACAAGTGTTTATTAATTTTGCGACTAATGGTGAGTTATCTCTTCTAACCTGAAATGCAAGAAATTAGATTTTAGAGTTTATAAAACTAAATTGCACAACGGTTTTACAAAATCTAACAAATTATGTAAGATTGCAAAGATCATGTTATATTCATAATAACAACATATTTCCAAAGAAATATTTGTACCTATCTCAGATTTTATTTGGATACGACTTTCACACATTATTATAAACATTTAGTGACATCCAAGTGTTTTGTATTCATTATTAAAAAAAATTCAAATATTCCACCATCTTTATTGAAAATATTTTTACAAATTTTGTTCAATATCAAAACTTTTAAAAATATAGATAAAATTTTCTATAACAAACCAAATCAGACTAAATTTGACTAAAAAACTTCAAGTTCGCAATTTTTCAGATAAATTTCAAAATATTTTCATTGTGTTAATATATTTTTTTAAATGTGCAAATATATTTTGATTTAATCTAAAAAATTACTAACACAAAGGGATTTTGAAAACAGACACATGCCCCAAATATTTTTTTATATTTATTCGATATTTACATAAGACTAGCTTTTTTTTTTTAAACAAGGTTAGATATTGAATTAGTTATTTACTTTTACATTTAAAAATTAAAATGAACTCACAGCAAAGTTGCATACAACCACTACTTATATAGATTTACTTACAACAAAGGTACGAGTAACCATTATTTAAATGAAATCCATTACAAAACAGCTGCAGGATATGTTGTTAAGCAACCACTATTTGAGTTAAGAGTTAACTAGTGTTTGAAATGAGAAAAGAGAGAAGATCAAGACTTTTACACACAACTCTTAAGTGAAATAAAAGGAGATTATTTAAGTCATCTAGAATGCCGAAAATAAAAATTTCTCAAGATTCCATTTTAATTAAGGTGTATGATTCAAATAGTGGTTGCTTAACTAAGTGATGCTTGCTCATTTTGAAACCTAAAGTTTCTTGAAAATTTTATTGTAATTCTTTTAATTGAACTTGAGTTTCAATTGAAATTTAAAAGGCTTTAATGAGGAGGCATGTAAACCTTATTTGAAATTTAAAAGGTTTTACATGCCTCTTAAAAAAAAATTTGCTCATAGAAAAAATGCAGAAAAGATAAAGCAGTAAGTAATGATCTACCGTACTTGACTACCAAGCTACAAAAGAAAAGTAAAGAAATTAAATATTACATTAAATGCCTTACTGTTACTATGGTTTTAAGTTTAATTCAAATCAACTTCTGAAAACAAAACCAATATTTTGTTATTCGAGATTGCTAATATCTTAATATGATAACTGGTTTTTAAAATAATTTAAAATATGGAAATTTTTTTTTTTTCAATATATGATTGGTATACTAAGTTAAATAAGCAGTTAATAACTACTGAAGATAAAAATTATTTAAAAAAAAACAGCTAATAAATCCAGCTAATAATAAAACAACAACAATTTAATAAAATAATAGTTAATAGTGGTGTTATTAGACATGGTTTTATTTTAGTCACACGTCAGCTAATTATAGTTAGGTTGGTGAAGGTAAAAGACAAAAGCTGTTGTTCACTTGGGTTATGTTGAAGAGGGACACTAATTATAGTTAGGTTGGTGAAGGTAAAAGATAAAAGTTGTTGTTCACTTGGGTTATGTTGAAAAGAGGGACACTAATTACTAATCAATATTATGAAAGAATGTTCAAAACTTGTTATACACAAAATAAAAAAGACTTTAAATTTTTAAGACTTGTTACTTAAAAATTTAAAGTTATCCTTAAAAATTCTCAAAAAAAAAAAAAATTAAAAAAAAATAAAGGATATTCACAAAGCATTTTTTTCTGATGTTTTAAATGTACCAAAATGCTTTCACATTAAAATAAAATTTTAGCATTTATGGCCATTTCTTATTGTAGTTTAAAACATATATTTACTTATTTTCATTTAATTTTCCTTATTGCATTGATGCTCTGTAAATTTTTGGTTGAACATCCAGTAATAAAGATAACAACCAGTACCAAGATTAAAGATAGTTGATAAATGATCAAATAGCTTGTTGGTAATTCTAAGAACCAAGACAGGGTGTTAGCCAGGAATAAATAAATATCTTTGAAATGATTTTTTTTGGGTGGGTTATATTTAAATCAGAAATATTTTTTTATTTTTTAAAAGTTAAATTATAAATATTCAACTTGATTCATTCTGACCAAACGACTAAAGTTTTTTCATATTTAAGAGATTTTTCCATCATATGTCAGTTTTATTTTATCACGATGCCTTGAAAAGCATTGTAATAACTGAATTTGAAACCTAATACTTATATTGCAGTTCTAGTTATTTGTCTTAATGTAAAAGTGAAAATTAAAACAAAATTAAAAATGCCAAAAATTATGAAAAAAAAGAAATGATTTCTGTTATTTTTAAATACTAAATAGAAAAAAACATAAACAACTAGCTTTAGTCATTTGTATAAAACTTTGCATTTATCTGATTCGGGTTTGCGTTGAAAATTTTAAATACTTTTTGGAAAAGTTTTGAAGATTTAGAATATTTATTGCAAAAAGAATAAACAAACATTTTGTTACTTATATAAAGATATTACTAAATCTTTTCAAAAATTTTGAAAATTATTTTTACCATAATGGTAACTCTATGTGTGATAATGATGATGAAGATTAAAATCATCATCATCACCAACATAAAAATTATGAACATGAGTATGCCAAGCATAACCAAACATTGCAGCTTTCAATTGAAGATATGAATATATTCAACTGATGATAATTGTTAAAAAAAAAAGTTATTTCTTCATTTTTAAATATTACATTTAACCATATAAAAAAATATTTTTTTTAAAATTAAATTAAGAATGTTCTTTTAAAAAAACCTTACATAAAATATATTCAATTCAAAAAAAAAAAAAAATAATCATAATAAAAAATTATTTAGTATATTTCTTAAAAAACACAAAAAAGTACTGAGAATTTATCAAACCGTTTCAATTCCTTTGCAGTCCATTTTATCAAATGTATCTGGTTTTGAGTAATAAAGGCCAGCATAGCGTTTTTTACTAATCAGTAAATAAGGATAGTAAACCTAAATAAGCAAATAAAGAAATTAATTTTATTTTCTAAAGAGGACTAAACTCTAATTGTGGTGGTAAAAAAATGAATATTTTTACTACCACAATTAAAGTTAAGTCCTCACAGTTCAAAATAGTAGAACTTTGGGTTCTACCATTTCGGAAAGGTGTAGTAAAGTTAATAGTTTTTCATATATACTCTGGCATAATACATATCACCCAACTAATATAGGATACAAGCTATCATTAATGTCACACATCTAACCACATTCCAAAGAAAACACAGACTATGACTTCAAATCAGAAAATTATTGATTTGCCACATTTCTGCTATTTTTATTTATTTTTTTCAATTCTTTCCTCTTTATTTTTAAAATCACAAAACATATACAAGAGAAAGTTTAAAAATTAAGTCTTTATATAATCTTTATTTGTAAAAGGTTTTCCATGCCTCATTGTATCTTGAGTAACCCAAATGCTAGCTCATGTAATACTATTTGTAGATTGTATATACCTATTGAACGCCAAAAATGAATTTTGCATGTTTCACAAAAAAAAAAAAAAAATTCAGAACCTTAGTAATCAAAGCATAATTAAAAAAATCTTGCACACTTCAGATACCGAGTCAAAATAAATGGAATAACTAAAAGAAGCTAGCAATGTGGAAAAGTTAATTGAATATTAGAACCTCTGAAAACAAGTGATGAAAATTATTTTGGGACTACCAAGTAATTTTTGCAAGGGAATAAGGTTAAATAAACCAATGCTTTTAATACTGCTACAAAAGATTTTTTTTACTGAAACACTCATTTTATTCTGAGAAAATCTGAAAAGTTACATTAAATTTACTGATTATTACAATATATTGCAATGCATAAATTCCATTACAATGCATTATTATTTACTTAATTAATGATAACTTAATTATTGATAACTTAATTAGTGATAACTTAATCAGTGTACATCTAATACAATAATATTTCATAATTACATTATACGTTTTGTAAGAAGTAAAATTGTAAACATTTTTATATATAAATTTTTACTCAAAATCTAATTATTTTTTTTGTAAACAAGTTAATTATATTAATTATATGAAAATAATTTTTACATTGTAATAACATATGTAACCAACAATTAATATGACTAAAATTATTATAATTGACATAATTCTTATTAGGAACTTTAAGCAAACACAACAGAGGCGAATGGACAGCGGGATTTTAAAACTAAATGTCATATTTTTTTTACTACGCATGTCCAGTTACGGTGATTCCCTTGTCCTCATGCCGTTCTGAATAAGTTTAATACGGGAAAACGCCATTTTGCAGTTGTTTCAAAAACGTGAGTTTTTGCGTTGAAATGGAAAAAAGTGTTGAAATTACTGAAATAAGCAAAAAAAGGTGATACATATTTTTATATGATTTATTTTAAGTATAAATATATTTCTTGTATTTATAACAAGAGTAGAACTAATAATTTAGGCTTGTAAGTTTTTTTTAAAACCCTGCCATTAATAAAAAAGTTCAATGGTAAACTTTTGTAAACTTTAAACTTAGTTTGAAGAACGTTATTACTATTATTCGTTGACTAAAATGTTTTGAACAAAAATATCATCAATAGTTAATTTGTAAATGATTTTTTTTTTTTTTTTAGATAAGTTATTGTGTTTAGCCCATTGAAGGACGAACTGCAGTTACGAGAAATACTGCTAATAGAACCTTATAAACATAAAACAAGAAGCAGAGAAAAGGGAAGTTTGTGGAAAACAACTGCAAATAATCTTTGTTCCTGCTCTAATGATGAGATATATTTTAAAGTAGACGCTCATGCAGTGAGAGAAAGATTCGATCTTGTGGTTTCTCAATATTTATCTAAACAGAAGGCTGAAGAGAAAGCAAGTGGCAAAAGCCCTTTGGTCACTTCTCTTGATGAAGCTATAGAAAGCGTTTTAAAGCAAATAAAAATATGCGAAGAAGAGTTGAACCATAATGAAAAACCAACTGACAAGGAAGCTAAGCAAGAGAAAGCAGAAGACATGAGAAAAAAATCTATGGAAACATTTATGAAAACAAAAGCACGTAAGAATACAGAAAGCAATGTAACTACTCCACCTTCAAAAAAAGAAAGAAGTTCAGGAAATGAGACTATTTAATATCTCAGAGAAAAAAGGCTGAAGCAGATCGTGAATTATGATTACAAGAACTAAACCTGCAGCGAGAAGAGCCAAGAGCTTGTCAAAAGCAACAAAATCAAATGTTTTCAAATATTCTTCAACAAAATCAGCAAATTCTTGGATTAGTTGTGCAACTTTTACAAAAACAATAAGATAAATAAATATAGTAAATACTTTCTTTGTTGCTATATTTTAATTCAATATTTTTGATATGGTTGTCACCAAATGTATATAAGTGATGAATAATAAATCTAACATTTTGAGAAAATGATTGTTTATTGTTTGAATAAAAATGCAAATTAGTTGCTAGTTAATCAAATAAAGATTTTATTTTTAAAAAATAATAAATTTGGTAAAAGATAACAATATACTGTTCATAAATTTTGATTTATTTTCGTTATTATAGTATTAATGTAATTTGATAATCTAAACATTTATATTTTAAGTTGGAGATAAGTATTAATAAAGAAAATATAAAACGTGAACAATTATAATTTATATAGTTGCTAACACCTGAAAATATATAATAATCATTAAACAAAATAGCCTTCTAACAATGGTGGTTCAACCTCAAAATAATTGGATGTGTTTGATTTGTAAAGGCAAGTGTGTGCATTGGTTAATAATGCACTAACTTTATACATTTTTCCCACTGCACTTAATTGTACTTTCAATTTTTTTTTGAAATCCAGGAATGCAAAATAGTTCATAATTTCTCCCAAAACCCATTCCACAGACGATCTTACTTTATTCATAGCCTTGTTAAATTCCTTTTGTTCTGGATTTAATACATTACGATTACTGTAAGGGGTTTGAAGATGAATTCTCAGTGGATAAGCTAGATCTCCATAAATACATAAAGGATCTCTATTTGGTCTTACACTATTTTGAAGTAATAAATTATACAGATTTGACGAGGCAAGCATTGAGCTATCGTGTCTACAACCTTCTACTGGCCCAAATAGATTTGCTATTAGTCCGTTTGGTGCCACAACTAATTGAAACTTAATTGAATGAACTCGTTTGTGCCCATTATACAATACTTGTTGGTCTTGTCCAGGTCTGCACACAGGTCTAACTGTCCCATTAACAAATCCCCAGCAAAAATCAAGTGGATCAAAAATCAAAAATCAACCTTTATTATGTATTGCTGTAGCATATTAATCTTAATTTATAAAACTAAAAACAGAAAAACTCAGAACTCAGAATTAAAATTGCCTTAAGTTTACCGCTGCCAACAAAACCCGTTGTCTTTGCTTTAAGTCCCTATTATGTCCTTTCTCGCCATATTTAAATATGACTTTAAATAATCATAGTTCATAGTTTTCAACTGATCCTATATAGGGAAAGACATTAAATAACATTAAACTGATCCTATAAAAGGTGAGAACTTTATCCTACGATAAAAGGTAAGGTGAGAACTTTATCCTACGATAAAAGGTAAGGTGAGAACTTTATCCTACGATAAAAGGTAAGGTGAGAACTTTATCCTACAATAAAAGGTAAGGTGAGAACTTTATCCTACGATAAAAGGTAAGGTGAGAACTTTATCCTACAATAAAAGGTAAGGTGAGAACTTTATCCTACGATGAAAGGTAAGGTAAGAACTTTATCCTACAATAAAAGGTAAGGTGATAACTTTATCCTACGATAAAAGGTAAGGTGAGAACTATATCCTACAATAAAAGGTTAGGTGAAAACTTTATCCTACGATAAAAGGTAATTGAATTAAATAAAAGTTAAATAAACTAACAAAATATTTTTGGGACAAAAATTTATGCACTTAAAGGTGTGGCCATACATCCCCATTCTGTATTTACTTCTATCAATCTACCTGTTTAAATAAATTTAATCTACCTGATGTTAAGGTACATTTAGGACTTTATTTTATTACGCATTATATTTTGTTTAAAAAATTACTTAAAACCTAAAAAAACTTAAAAAAGAAACCTTTTCAAACTCCAGTTTAATAGGATCAATAAACTCATTTGATACATATGCTGCAGCTTCTCTTCCAAGTTCCATGCTATCTGGCACATTATCCGGACCAAACTGTACCATTACAGAATCAGTATCTCCATAAATGACCTAAAAGGAATTTAATAACACTACTGAAACGTTCCCAAAAAGGATAAATTAATTTAAACAAAACATTTTAAATATGCAATTTCAAATGTGAAAAAATAGGTGAACAGGTGTTACAAATGCAGGCAAACTAGGTAAATAAATTAAATGCAAACAAGCTAAATGAACAACTTTTAAATGTTAACTAAACAAACAACATTAAGACAATAATGTAATGTAAAGGTGATATGGTTTTAATACAAAGAAATTTGTCTTTTTTTGTAAGTGGTGTCATGCCATGTCACTCAAAATGACAATCTTATTATTTAAAATTCTTTAGCATATCAAGCATACCTTGGAGTCATATTTGTAACCATTTTTAATATTATATTTATCTTCTACTAGCTGCTTAGTTCGCTCTATCATTTGACGCCCAAATGCAGTTACACTCTAAATTGTTTCAACATCAATATTGCACTTGTGAAATTATAGTAAAGATATTATATTTTTTATATCATTATTAGTGAGGTAAAAGAAAGTTTGTTTGTACATTTATAATACATTTTATCAAATATGCTTCGCCAAACAAAAGGCTTTAATTCTTCACGGTACATGTGGTCAAGAATAATTTTTATTTATTTACACAAATGACACACATTTATATGGTAGTACACCAGGGTTGGCACCCAAAAACCCACCCAAAAACCCAAGAGCAAAAACCCACCAAAAACCAACTTAATGGGTTTTTGTATTTATATTATTTTTAATCATAAATTAATTTCCATTCACACTCAAGATTTGAGGCTGCTCAAAAATTGTTATAAAAATAATAAAGTTTAGTGAATCAAAAATGAGATTTTATTTTATTTGGAGTAGAAATATTCAAACTTAAAGGTTTAAAACAAAGTTATCTAACAAGTTAGTCATCAGCAATTGTTCATCTTGACCTTAATGTATGTAAATTTGTACAAGCATTGTTGCTTTTCCTCTTTCTAAAAGATTCCTAATTTTACTAAATATCATGATTCCTAAACCACGTTTTATTTAATCAGGCTCATTCCTCACCTTCTTCTTCTTGACTTCTATCCAAAGTTCTTTCATTATTCAGCCATTCCTCAGCTTCTTCTTCTTGACTTCTATCCAAGGTTCTTTTTATCTTTTTAGATAAATAGAAAATTGTTTGAGTATTTATTTTAATTTGATCAGATGCAAGTTTTTGATTTTATTACAATTTTATAGTTACCTTTACATTTTAGATCTGTTAAATTGGCCAAAAAACGATATAGAAAAATTGTTTTATTAGACCTCTGTAAGATATAATCGTCTTGGATACTATGAGCAATAAAATCATTACTAAATGCACTCCAATCATCTTGAATTAGGATAACAGCACAATCATCATCAAGATCACATTTAATTATATTGATTACTTTTTCGTTTACCTTTACTAAGAGTTCTGAAGATATCTGTTTTCGATTCTATAGGTAGTCAACTCAAGTTTTTCTACTATGTTGAATGGTATATTTGTTGAAAAAAAAACCTTTTAACCTGCAAATCCAGTTCATTCTTCTGATTACTTGTTGTTGAAGTAACAAAGTTAGAAACGGATGTTTGCTGTTGCATTGTCATTGCAGTTAAATGAACAATTGACAAAGATTTACTAATAAAGCTAAAGTAATCTTGATCATTATCTTCTGACTGGTTAGACTTGTTCGATGCTGCAGATGTAAATGGTCTTGACTCTAAAACTGATGTATTGTTAATTATTCTGCGGAATTCTTAGCAATTCCTTTTATTTTACTTCTGAATTTATCAAAATGATCTTAACTCTCACTACTTTTTTAATTATGCCTCTTTGCAGTGATTACATATTAATCTACTTGGTTGATCACTTAATATGGCCACTTCATTCTACCCACTAGCCTAATTTCTTTACTCAAATTGATACTTTGACATGTTAATGTCAAATAAAGACGTATAATTCAATTTCATTTTAAATTTGACTAAAAAGATAACTCAGTTAAACAATAAATTTATATTAGAAAAAAATGCTGATTATAGATTAAGCTTTTGTATAAGAAAATATAACTTTAAAAAATGATAAATAGCTTTTAAATTACTATAAATTTATCAAACTTCGTAACTAAAGATTTGTACGCAACTTAAGTAAAAACCCAAAAACCCAATAACCCACCCAAAAACTCACCCAAAAACCGACCCAAAAACCCAGTTGGGTTGGGTTTTTGCCAGCCTTGTAGTACACATAATTAAACATAGATCTTATATATTTTTATGGTAGGGTAGACCAGGGCTAGTTGGCAGCAAATATAAGATGACAAACTGCATTTAAAATTTTTTAAAGCCTTTTATCAGAAAGTGCAAAAAATTACATAGAACCTTACTAATTGACCCTTTCATTATTCACTTTAGCATAAGAGATATTGGGATTTATGTGTTTTTTAGACAAAATGTAATTTTTATAACATCGCTTTCTTTTTTAATATATAAAGAAAATAATCGTATGAACAAAAGTTTTAGTAAAAATTGCAGTCACAATTGATTTACTAATTCCAGTTAGAGTTTTTCAGGATCTATAGATCCTGAATATTTTTATTATATAATCTTATTGAAAAAATATATTTTTTTAAAAAAAAAGCCTTTTGGAGTTAGTTGACAAATTTTTTAGTTGGCTCATAGCATTTATTATAGAGAAAAAAACTTTTACAAGTTTAATTTTTTTTTTAATTTTTAACAATATTGAAAAATGTTATTTTTTACAAAAAAATAACAAAAAAACATTTATAGAGTTTTTTTAAAAAATATAAACTAATATTTTGTACCAACTAAGAATAAAAAGTAAAAAAATTTCTATAAATTTTTTGGACTTAATAGTACATTAATAGTCATTTTTATAGTTTGCACCGGCTTACTCCGTGGAGCGTTAAGTTAGCTTACTCCGTGGAGCATTTTTTTTTAAGGCCTCATGAAAAATTTTACCATTTTTTTGAAATGTTTCCTGAATTCATATTATTTAAGACCGCGATTTTATTTTAAAAAAATATTTTGTTGTTAGGCCTACAGAGGCAACTAGCTGCAGTCTCCCCTACACATAGCTATATATAGTTCCTTTAAAGTTTGATGAAGCATGTGGTCAAATATAGTTATTTATAGCGTGTTAATATAAAGTTCTGGGTAAAATCAAAAAGATCCAGCTAAACTAATTTATAATTGTATTAATATGACATAATACAAAACACACAAAAACATCATTCACATAAATCTAATTATAAATTATGTTACAGATGATATCTCAATGCAAGGAAGCTTTCCAACTTGAGCTCCAGTAAATCCATACACTGAGTTAGCACTTATCTTTAATGCAAGTTGTCGTCCATCTAATACCTAGATTTAAATTTTAGTATAAAAACAAGTAAAAATTAATTATGTTTTAGTATTTGATTTTATTTTGATCATTTACAATTCATATTGATAATGCAAATAAGTATTCAGTATAAACGAAATATTTATGAAAAATATATATACTTTTGCTTTAAATATATCTGTTTCTCCTTTTAAATCAGATTTTGCTCTGGAATAAAAAATTTAAGTAATCATAATATTATTATATAAATAATATTATTAAACAAACAAAATGACATTATTATATATAATTTCATAAAATTAAGTCTGTTTTTTAAGAAAATCAATAACAATTTAAGTTAATTGTATAAAAAACTTAAATTATAATGTAAATTATAAAATTAATCTGTTGAAACTTATAAAACATTCTTAGGTTTTTCTTTCGGTTTTTATGAGTTTAAAATTTTCCTTTTTATATTTTAAGCTTCTTGCAAGTACTTTAGTGATCATCAAAACATGTCTATCACGGTTTGTAAATTTGGGACCCTAATATCAATGAAACACCCTATGAAAACCCTTTTAAGGGGGGATAGTACATAACAATGGATGGCCATACAGAGTGATTTTGAAATCCTGCATTAACATCCAATGGAGATTTTTTACCTTGAAGTTTTGAAGAAAATAAGAATTTTAAGCAACATTTGGCAGCCTATTTGTAGTACAAAAATACATTTCTGATTTTTTATCATAAAACAAAAAATGTTAAAAACATAAATTGGGAGCTTTTTTATTTTATTCATTTATTTTCTTAATGATCGCATTTAGAAGATAAACAACAATTTCTATAATTCCATTAAAAATTATAATGCTCTCTAGAGACGAATCATCTGGAACAAAATAAAGGCACTAAAATATCACAAATCTGTTAAGAGTATTCGTAGGATTTTTTTAACACTGTTCTTTAGATCTAGATTTTCTTGCTGTTGTATTCGATCACACACTTCAGGAGTTGGCTGGCATAGTCTGGATGTGAGGAATCTTGTTTGTATCTCTCCCAATGAACTTTGAAATTGAAGTGCAGAGCTTCTGTTGCCTGCTCACTGAAGAGACCCAATCCTGTTTTCTTGATTTTGATGAACTGAGGTACATGGTAAAACACTGCATGTACTTTTGGAGTAACTGAAATGGGTAGGCGGATGTAGCTTTGTTTGAACTTGGAGATCTTCGATTTATAATCAGGATCCAATTTATTGCCAAAGCAAGAAATGACCACGTCCTTAAATAGTGCAAGTGTTTGCATGAAGTCATGAGCTTGACTAAAATTGTTGTATCCTGTGACCAATTGCAACTTGTCTAAACCTCTCAAGAGCTTCATGCAGTCATTCCCATTGAAATGTCCACCATGGTAGGGCTGAATAGGAATATGAAGTGAAGCTGGCCATTTCTCGGCCCCTGGCCAAATTTTGCAAAGATTTTTATACAATTGGTTTACTACTCCAAGTAACAAATGGAGCTCCATTGGAGGGATAGCTTCGAGCACAAGCTTGTGATCAGGAAAATCAACCAATGGTACGTGAATGACATTTTTGAACTCCTTTGATTTTCTTGTATCTCCTCCTGCGTTGATGAATTCAAAATGTTGTCTCCTAATCTCGCCAAAAGTTCGAGGACTTCCACAGTTTTGGAGGTTTAAAGACGAAACATCACACCAACAACATGGGTGTTTGCTGCTATGGGATTGAATGCCACACAGAATATTTGCCAACTTTAGGTCACATGATATGACCAGAGAATCCATCTGACATTTCTCTTGTACTTGGATGAGGTCAAAAATTGCCTTCACATTATGGTAGTTATCTGGAGTGTTTTGTGCAATTGCTACCAGTAGTTGCTGCTTGACACTTGTTGATTTAGTTGTTTGTGGAGACATCAATTTGATTGTTTTCTGCAGTGGGCTATGTGGCGGTGTCTCACCTTCATCCACAATGATGTGTGAGAAGCTGACTTTCAAAAAAGATCCTCCACCATCAATCCCTAGTTTCAAAATTGCAGAATCTGTCATCTTTCTTGATGCTAAGAAGATTAGAAGGTTTTGACAATGCACAACTTGGGATATTTGATTGTTTTCAGCAAGAGTGATGCTGCTCACAGTGAAGTGATCACAAAGTTTTTGGCCTGCTTGAGCGAATTTTTGCTGAAAACTTGGCTCCACCAATTTGATAGGACTGATTTGATTTAGTGCCGATCCAAGTTTTCTCATCCCATTGTTTGAAAGTCCTATATTCTGCTGAACTTGAACCATATTCTGCGTTGTGAGAGGCTCTTTGAAAAGTTGCTGTGCTGATGAAGGTCCTAATTATAAAAATTGCATTTAAAAAATAGTTCATGACCTTCAAAAAATATTAATATTTTTTAAAAACTTACTTAATTTAAAAATAAAATTTTCTCTGCAAATATATTTGCAGAGAAAATTTTATTTTTAAATTAAGTAAGTTTTTGAAAAATAAATAGATAATATTTATACTTTAATTTAATCATTTAAAGTTCAAAAGCACTATTACCTTTTCTCAATGGCAATAACTTTCCACAAGGTTGACTGAGTCTGATGGTGCCATGAGGAGATGCACTTTTTGATGCCAAAACTGTTGCTGCAACTTGCTCTGCACCAATGGGATCAGAGGCAGCCATTCTTCTCAAATTTTCATGGCGTGTTCCAGGAGTGCAGTAGTGAGGAAGCCCACGACCAATAACTGACAAGCACTTAGTACAATGCTTTTCTGCATTTTGCGAAGATTGTTGGGGAACTTTTGGTGCTGAATCTTGAACCTTGCTTAATGGATACCTTTCTTTTCCCTTGAGTTTGGCAATCTTACAAATCAAGCACTCACAGACTGTAGAAAAACGAGTAAGAGGCTTGATCGAAATTGATTCAAAGTCATAAATCTGAGGCACAACATTTGTTTTACCATCACACAGCTTTCCAATGTGAGATCTGCAGGAGATGCAGGTCGCCAATGGTACTCTGTCATCATTGAAGTTGATTTCTTTCTGAATTTGTTGAAGAATTTTAGCTTTGAAGTTTTCAGTCAATTCTTGATAACCTTTCTTCATACAGATAACACAAACAGATTTTCTACATTCTTCATGGTTTTTGGCAAATGTAGGCATCTTTAAATTCTTAAATATTTGTTCACAAAAAAATATGTTTTCCTTCAAAAACTATCTTAAAGTGTAGTGCCTTTTCCCAGAATATATTTGTTTACTCTTTTCGTTAGTTTCGAAAGTTCGATTTTACGCTTGCACTGATCAAAACACTCAATAAAGAATTATTTCAAAAAAAATGAATAAAATAATAAACATTTTACGTTTCATGGGCTACAATCTTTATTTTATAAAAAAAATTAAGGGAGCAAGTTTAGTACCATTAAGAGGCAGCTTAATTTGGCTCATAAATCAACCCTTTTAAAAAACCTTCATGATCAAATAATTCTTTTTGATGTTAATCCCCGATTTCAAAACAACTCAATATAGACTCCCATTGGCATGTACTATCACCCATTTAAAGGGTTTTCATAGGGTATTTCATTGATATTAGGGTCCCAAATTTACAAACCGTGCTATATATATAGACACACACACACCGATATATCAGATAAATTAGAGCGCATACACCTTCATTAAACTCTCATCTTTGCCATTCACATTTAAATGGCTTGACCATGTTAGCAATGGTGAGAAGAAGTAAGCCACTTAACTTTTTTTTTGCTAAAAGAAGCTTAAAAATTCTGTGCATGTCATGTAATTACAGGAATGAGTAAGAAATTTATTAGGCTAAAAAAAAAATGTTAAAAAAATTTGAAATATTACATTTAACATTTAAAAAAATGATTGCAGTATAGTATTCCAATGTTTAGAAATACAAAATTAAACAAAAAAACAATTAGCGCTTTTAAAAAATGCACTAAAAATTTAAAAACCACATTACTGTGGTTTTTAAATGAGTTGATTTCATAATAACAAATAAATTTCTACAATATTTCTGGAATACTATACTGCAATCATTGAAAAAAATATTCAGATTAGAGTTTAAGGTAAAATGAGTACAGAAGTTACAGAAAGTACAGAAGTACAGAAGTTATCTTTTTCAATCTTATAATTACTATATAGCTATTAAATCTTCTTTTTATTTATCATTCAAAACTGTTAAAGCTGTTTTATTGCATTATTGCATTTTTAATGCTTTTTTGTATTGCTATTCTATTGTATTTTTATTGCTGCTTTATTTAGGATGTTACAAAAAACTTCACATTATACAGATATATTTAAGAGACCAAGGAGTAACTCACTAAATATATTTTAAAATAAGTTGATAACAATATTTTTTTAAGGAAAATAAAATCACTAAATTATTTGTTAGGTCTTGCAATTTGCAAGAGAAACTCTTTGATAGGTTCTGGAAAGATAACAAGTTTAAATTATAGCAGAAAATGTTGGTTCTATTAAAGGAAGAAAAGGTTTTAATGAATTTTTATTAAAAAGAATTTTAAGACTTTCATATTTCTTAATTTTTGAAATAAAAACTTAATAAGAATACTTTTCTTTACTTGTTCTATTTTTAATAAAAGCTTATCTTTGGAACATTTTATCCTAGACAGAAGTTTTGCAAGTCATTTTACTTAAATTATAATTCCCTAAATAAACAATATTGAGAGTTGTAAAAGTATTACTACACACAACTATTTTTAGTTTATCATATCTTGTAAATTTATTTTTAAGTTAAAAACACACTTTTTTCTTGCACTGAGAAGATTCTCTAAGATTTCTGGAAGCAAACCTTTGCGAACACTTTTCTTGACAAAGTAATGGTTGCATGGCGTAACAATATACTCATCTGGGTTCATTCTATTGAATAAAAAAACGACATAGAATAAAAACTTTCAGGGGTCGCTTAAGACGCTTAAACATCTAACAGCTCCCTAATATTTTGAAAAAAAAAAGTTCTTTAAAAATATATCATGATGGGTTTCAAAAGAAGTGAAATTTTATAAAAATTTCAAAAATAATAAAAACAATTTTTAGAAACACAAAAATTAAAAGTTTATTAAAAAAAAAACTTTGAAAATATGTACTTTCTATTTTTTGTTAAAAAATGATAGTTTTTAAGCCATAAAATTTAAACTTGTAATCTTTATATATAATGATTTTTTAAAATTTTATAAAATTTCACTTCTTGTGAGACCTAACAGGATATACTTTTAAAGCACTTTTGTTTTCAAAATATAAGGGACCCGCATGATGTCTAAGAGTCTTGAGCAGCCCCTAAAATTTTTTTTTTATTCAAAATTTTTTTTAATTTAGTGTTAATTTATTACATAGAAAACATTTAGGAGGTGGCAGCAGATAATTTAAAAAAAAATTGTTTTTAGAGGCACTCTAATATATATATATATATATATATATATATATATATATATATATATATATATATATATATATATATATATATATATATATATATACACACACACACACACTAACACACACGCACATTTCAATAAATATTTAAAATGTTATATTGAAGTAGTTAACAAAGTTGTAATAAAAACCTTTCTAAATCACATTTTGAAAGAAGTGTTGTGTAACACAAATTGTGCGCCATCATTATAGAAGGATATAAAGATGCAAAATCAAGGGTTGCAATTGGTTTTCGGTAATACCTGCATTAAAAAAATTTTAATATATAAATTTAGCATAAACATACATATACTAGTTTAACCAAACAAATCATACATATGTTTTGTGTATGAAGAGCTTATTTTCAGAACGCGATATGAGCAATTTTGTTTTTATGTGCCAACTAAAATATAAAAACTTTTCTGGACTTAAAAAATAACACAACTAGTAATACTAAATATATTATCATATAAAAAATAAACTTAAAAAAATATTATTCATAAATAAAATAACAATTTTATTAAAGTGCATCTTTTTGCACTAACTTTTCTAATTAAAAATTTAAAGCAGCACATATAATCAAAATTTCACATATGGTGCTTTGAAAATATTCTATATATATATATATATATATATATATATATATATATATATATATATATATATATATATATATATATATATATATATATATTCTTAAAAGAGACATAATAGTTAGGGTTGAGCTTTTATAAGCTTTTAAATTTAGCAGTAAAAAAAAATTGGTAAAATTTAAATTGTCTATGCTTCTTTGCTAAATGTTGAATGACATTTTCTACTACTCTCCATTTGAGCCAATACTTAACTATTTTTTTACGAGGAAAAACCTTGAAAGAAAAGATTCCTCAATATTGTGAAGAACAGTATTTAATAGTTAAATTTTTATTCTCTTCAGTTTCACAAAGGCAGGATTAGACAGATATTTGAACATACTTGTTAAATTGCTTTGTTATCTCTGAGTTGTTTTTGTTAATCGAAAGCAATTTGGATCTTTCATTTTGCAAAACTGAAATTCACTGGCAAAATTTACTGCTTAATTGATAAAAAATAATTTATGAGTAAATCAGTAAAAATAATTTATGAGAAAATTGGTAAGCAAATGGTAAAAACTCAACCTTGACAATAGTAGAGTCATAAAGAATAACAAAAAGATATTGGTTAGCCATTTTTGATTGATTAGTTCTTCTTTATGATGCATTAGATTACACAATCCCGACGGGCATTTGTTTTTAAAAGTTACGATCTAAATGTATTTTAAATGTCTTTTAAACGTCTTTTAAACATTAATGTTTAAAAAACGTTTAAAAGACATTTAAAACACATTTAGAACGTAACTTTTAAAAACAAATGCCCGTCGGGATGTTACAAAAAAAAAAAAAAAAATCTGTTTATCAAAATTTTTTGATGTTTCTTATTTAATTTGAGTATGCTGAGTCTGAATATGACATATATATATATATGACATATGAATATATATATATATATATATATATATATATATATATATATATATATATATATGACATATATATATATATATGACATATGAATATGTTTTTTATTGCATGAACTGTTTGATCATAAAACCAAAAATTCAGTTAAACATACAATTAATATAAATCATATTGCATGAGATACAACTTTAGTCAACATATAACATTAACTAGTTCAAAAACGTTATGTTATGAAAGTTTCATGTTACATACTTTACATGCTTATATTACATAATGTTACATTATGTTTTAATGTAACTGTCTGTAAATGTCTCTCAAAATCTCAAAAAGCACTAGAAGTGAACAGCAGAATGTAGTTTTCTTTTATGAACTTTGTCGTTATCGTGTATCAAACACCTAATGTAGTCACCCATCATAGCTGCATCCCATCTGACCTGGTATCTTTTCTCCATTGCATGGATATCCTGATGAAAACATTCTCCAAGCTCTTCACTCACATCACTCACATTAAATTTGGTCAGAAAAATTTCAAGTATGAATGCAGGTAATGCAGTTTTATTGACATTCTGCATTTCATATCTGCGTAACTTACAATTAAGTTTTCCACTAGCTTTTTGTAGTTATCACTCTTATTGTTGGCTAAAAAACCATGAACAACATGTCTAAACGCAATCCATGCTTCTTTTTTAACAGCAGACATTTCGTCCTCCAGCTACTTACATGTCAACATAACTTTATTCTGCGGACCACCCAATACACCTACTAAAATTTTTGCATGTAACAACTGCTAGAACAGTGCACTAGCTGGGTTTAATGATTTGACAAATTGTTTGACAAGACCTAGTTTAATGTGAAGGGGTGGTAGAAAGATCAACAGGTATCAGGGATTGATTAAATACATTGTGCAAACCAGGCTGTAAATGTTCTCTCACTCACATCTCATGAAGTGCTGGTTTGCAGCCCTGCTATCCCATAAACAAAGAAAACATGAGTACTTTGTGTATCCTCCTTGAAGAACAAGAAGGAATGCTAGCATCTCTAAGTCTCCACATACTTCCCATTTGTAACTGTCGTAGTTGATTTTCTCAAGCAACAACTTTACATTTTTGTAGTCTTCCTTTAAATGAACGGAATGAGCTACTGGAATCAAAGGAAATTGGTTTCCGTTATGGAGTTAAAGTGCCTTTAGACATCTTGTTGAACTGTCAATGAATAACATTCAGGATTGTGAACAATGCCAATGTGATCGAAAAGACCATGAATGTCATGTCAGTAGCACAGTGATTCTGATACTACATAAAAGGATGCAAATGTTATAAGTCTTTTTCGGTATTTCGAGGTTCTGCAGTCTGAATCTAATAAATTTCATTTTTTCAAACATGATATTAGAAGTTCTCCATTTGATTTAGTGAGACCTAAATCTCGTAGTCATCAAGTTCTTGTTGGTTTGGGAAATGAGGTGAATCATTCGCTTCCCTGAAATCAGTCATCACAGAGTTTATCCGGTATGTCTACATCAAAATGGTATGCAGTCATTTCTTCTGATTGAGGTGGGTTAGAAACAGGTAATTCATCACTGTGTAGAACTGGTCCAATAGAAGAGCGAATACTTGGATAAACTAGAGTCAGCCTATCCTTCAGCTTTTTATACTTTGAAATGTCAACAATGCAGAAATAACAGTCATCATGGTGTTTCGTCGGTTCTCTCCATATTCTCGGAATCGCAAAGGGCATTGACTTTCGGATTCCACACAGCCATCCTTCCAGAGTTGATCTGCAGCTGCCACAACTGTAGTGTTGTGCCCATTTGTCCTGATCTCCCATAGCCATGCCAAAAGAGGCATGATATGCAGTAAAGAATTTTGTACTACTGACAATCTTATGTTTAGTTGGACTAATATAGTAACCACAAACATAACAGATTGAGTCAGGGAAAAGCTTGCAGGATCTACTAGATATTCATCACTTCATATAACAGTTGTAACTAAAAATAAACAAAACAATATTCTCTCAGTAGCATTTGTTAAAAAAATTGTACCCAAATTGTGCTAATATTTATTTTAAAAATGCTTTAAATAAACATAAATAAATATAAACAATAACAAAGGAAGTGACAATAGAATACCTAAAAAACTGCAATCAGGAAATGTAATATTAAAAGTGGAATTATAAAAAAGACGCAAAATATACTAAGCCACCGACAGTGGGTTGCCAGAGAGAAAAAAAAAAACCAAGAGCCACTGTCAGTGGCTCAGCGGAGAGAATGAGTTAAAACCAGCATTTATAAATATATAATGTTATAAATGCATTACACATATACTAAAACTCTAAAATAAACTTTATACTTTTTCTCAAAAAATCTTGATAATAAAGAAAAACCAATGGTACCACTAAAATCAGCATACCAAATTTATATAAGAAACATTAAAAAAATTAACATAAACAAAAATGTTGTTACATTGTGTTATTTGATCATATTATTAGAATATTTAATATTCTTATAAAACAATCAAATAATCTAATGCTAATAATATAATATATCATACTAGATATTAGATGATTTGCAGAGGTAATAAAGATAATAAAAGTATATATAGTAAAATATAGAAGTGATAACCATGAAACAAGATTTGATATAAAATATATTTATCATAATATATCATAAAATAAATACTTATATCACTATTAGGATGTTGATGATGGCTAGTTTTTTTTTTTTTTTTTTTGTTGATCAATATACAAAACATAAAAAAATTTTTTTTTTTGAAAAAAAATATTTTAAGCTACGTTTTTTCACTATTTAACTATTATTTTTGAGACTCGCAGATCGCAGTTATTTACCAAACCATGTAGTAATCTCAATTTAATTTGGTGTGCAAAATGGTGCATTTCAAAGTTTAGTTAAACAAACAACATGTAAACAACAATTATGTTTTAAATACATACTTACCTTTTCGCAATGTTTGTACTACTTTTTGGATTATGTAGAAAAGAGGAACTGTATGTTTTACAATTTATTTACAAAGCATTAAATCTACAATTCATAATGCTTTGTTATTAAATTTCAATACCTTTCAAAATTTCTATACCTTTCTTATATATGTATATGATATGTATATATATATATATATATATATATATATATATATATATATATATATATATATATATATATATATATATATATATATATATATATATATATATATATATATATATATATATATATATATATATATATATATATATATATATATATATATATATATATAGTTTTTTTAACATGTAAAACACATAGATGATAATAAACAACTTTAAATCATCATTCCTATATAATCCAAAAAAATATAAACATTGCAAAAAGGAGAGTGTTAATTTAAAATATATTTGTTATTCACACGTTGTTTATTATACTAAATTTTAAAATGCCCAATTTTGTGCACAAAGTCAAATTTTATTTTACTGCATTCTTTGGTAAAATAATGCAATAAATTTAACAACCAATTATTACTATTATTAATTTAGAACTTTGTATTTAAATAATTTTTTGCAAAAAGGTGGTAGGTAAATATAACTAATATAACAATATAACTAACAAATAGAATAAAAATATACGAAATAAAATAAAAATTCATTGAATTGAAATTTATTTCAAGACTTTAAAAAAAAAAGTAAAAATGTACTAATTAAAAACAAATTTTAAAAACAACCGATGGTAGTTTGGATCATTATTATCGATTATCTGTTAGCAACTGAGATATGTAAATACCTATAACAATTACTTACAAAACATTATATATTGTCCTGTTATATAAAACAAAAAAAAGAAAGCATTCAAGATAAGAAAAAAAAAATCAAACCCTTTAATAGGATCAATAACAGTTGCACCTTCATATTCGTCACCAGCTTCAATTTTTTGTGCAGGAAGTATAAAATCATGCTCCTTTGACTAAAAAGTTAAATGTAAATTCTATATTTTATAAAATTTTATTAACTACTATATTTGATGAATTAATGTTAATTTTACTTCACATTTTTATTGTAAAAAAATTTAATCATTATACATTTATATTTTTATTTACTTTATTTTTGTCATTTTTAATGTCATTTTTAAATGACAGATATATCTAACTACATACCTAATATATATGCATATAAAATAAACTTTGTCACCTGTTAAACCCCGCACAATCTTAACTCAGCCACATAAGCAAAAAATATCTTGATAAAATAAAGAAAAAAAACTAAATTATATTTGAATCAATGGTAAAATGCCTCCAAAGCAATCCAATGGTTTAAAAATGTACCAGAAAAAAATACTGTTTTTCTCCAGTTTGACATTTTTGATTTTCACCCCACTATCACACCTAACATACCATTGTTGATTTTCACCCCACTATCACACCTAACATACCATTGTTGATTTTCACCCCACTATCACACCTAACATACCATTGTTGATTTTTACCCTACTATTACACCTAAAATACCAGTGCTTAGTATGTTACACAATGCAATTAACAAAACAACAACAAAAAAAGTGAGCATTTACTAACAACAAAAAAAGTGAGTCATTAACTTTAGCAGAAAGTCCTTACTGTTTTTTAACAAAAAATATGGAAAAGAAACTTTGCACACAACTGTTTTGATACCACAACGGGGTGTTTTGATAAAGTTTGTGAACTAGTGGACCTATGTATACTAAACTTGCTATCCATAATAATAAATAAAGATGACAGGATTATACTGTGACAACGGCCCCGTGGCAAAATTGGCTTGCAAATTAATCCTTTATGAAAAAATATCATTGAAGTTTTTGCAATGATTAGTTTTATAATAGCTATAGAAACAAACCTACTTGCAGTCAACTTCTTACATGTATCTTTCAACTTAGAAAAAATTTGTATCAACCTTTTAAAAACCAAATGCAAAGGTAAATTACTGTTTCTAATCACTCTCCTCAAATTTCCCAACAATTCCCAACCTCCATTAGCGACAGATTAACACAAAATTCTTTAATTCTAAAACAGAATGCAAAAAGGAACAAAGAAGAAACGCTACACTGATTTTAATTTAAGATATAACCCTTAAAAAAAGGAGATGCCTAAAAGAAAATGAAATATAATATGGTTCAACACCCCCTCACCTCTTACAGTAACAGTTTTTTTACAAATGTTGAACATATCTTCCTAAATTTAATCAACAAACATTTTTCAATATCCTATTCCCTAAATAAGTTATTCAATCAAAATATAATTACAGTGAGTGATAGCTGCACCAAAAATAATGACAAAATAATAAAAAGCCACAAAAAAAAATTATATTTAAAGTTTCAGATGAACATCCACAATGCAATTGCATAAACAAACAGAAGTGACCAATAAAGGGAAAATGCAAAGTGTCAAATGTTATTTATAAATGTATAGTGTTATCTCCTAATATTCCAGAAAAAATACAGCATGGAAAATAAGAAATGTGAGTGGTCAATCAACAGCCTAACATACAGAATTGATGATCAAATTTTTTTTTGCACGGTTGAATTTTTATTACATTTTATTTTAATAATAGTTCTTTATTACTTTATAAATACAAAAACAATTTGATGCATGAAAAGATTCCCTTTTTAAATTAATAATTTTCAATAAAATCAAATATCTTAATGCTAAAACTTTTTTTAAATATCAAAACTATTTTTATAAAATATTAAAAAAATTTAAACTGAATACTTAAAACTATGAAATGCTACTATAAGAATTACTTATGCTACATAAACAACATTAAAAAAAAAAAAATGTGCAAATTGGTATTTTTAAACTTATTCAAAAATAATTAATTTCTTGCAAAGACTTTGCAAATGGCAAATCATTCTTTGTGATGGCCCCTGTGGAGAAATCTTTCGTCTCCCTGTTGACAAATGTGCTTTTTACATAACTTCATGGATTCAGACTGGCATGGAATCCTTTATTCCCTCTCGACGATTCCAGGTCAAGCCTTACATTTCTCCATGGTTTTCCTCAAATTGTGCTGCTGCAATTGCCAATCGAAACCATTACTTCCATATCTATCAGCAAAACAATTTTCCAGAAAACAGACGTCTGTTTAATACTGCTAAGAACCATTGTAAAAAGGTTTTGTCTAATGCCAAAGCCCGCTATTCTCAGATTATGAAATCTCGTATTTCATCACAAAAATTAGGCTCTCGTGACTTCTGGAGAATCTTTAATAGTATCAATAATAAGGGCAAGTCTGTAATTCCACCTCTTTTGTATGGTTCAGACTTTGTCACCTCACCTAAAGACAAAGCTAAATTGTTTGACAAGAACTTTTCATCAATACCATCTCTTGATGCCACTAGTTGCGCTCTACCTGATATAGCTGTCAAACAGGTTGATCCATTGCTCGACATTCGTATCACATCTAGCTTCTGTATCTAAAGTGATTTCTCGCTTAGACTCTTCTGCAGCTTGCGGCCGGAACAACATACCTGTTATAGTCTTGCAGAAGTGTTCTCTGGAGCTGTCGTTTATTCTTTCAAAACTATTTAAAAAGTGCTTATCAGAGTCTTGGTTTCCAGCCTGCTGGAAATCAACATCTAATATCCCTATTTTTAAAAATTCTGGAGAGCGATCCGATTCGTCTAACTACTGTCCCATTAGTCTTCTTCCTATCATAAGCATGGTTTTTGAATCATTAATTAAAAAACATTTAATCTCTCATCTCGAATCTCATAACCTACTTTCTGATCATCAATATGGATTTCGATCTTCTCGTTCTACGGCTGATTTGCTATCAGTAATAAGCGATAGGTTTTATTGCGCATTAGATAAAGGTGGAGAGGTTAAGGCCATTGCTCTTGACATTTCTACAGTGTTTAATAAAGTTTGGCATGCTGGTCTTCTCCATAAGCTTTTTTCTTATGGTGTATCTGGAAACCTCTATAAGATTATTGAATCCTTCCTTTCCAATCGCAGTATAAAAGTTGTCCTTGATGGACAGCACTCTTCTTCTTATTCTGTAACCTCAGGGGTTCCTCAAGGTTCAATCCTTGGCCCTATACTCTTTTTAATTTACATTAACGATCTTCCAGATATTCTCACATCTAAGGTGGCATTGTTTGCTGATGATACTACCATTTATTCTTGTCACGATAAGAAGCCAACTCCCTTTGATTGCTTGGAGGGAGCATATGAGCTTGAAAAAGATCTCATTTCTGCTACAGCATGGGGCTCACAGTGGCTGGTGAACTTTAATTCAGATAAAACTCAATTTTTTTCGGCCAATCGTTATCGCAATAGTTTAGACCTTCCTATATTTATAAACGGTAATGTACTCGATGAGTCTCCTACCCTTTATCTTCTAGGATTAACTCTTACTTCTGATCTTTCTTGGAAACATTATATCAAATCCATTGCAAAATTTACATCTGCTAAAGTTGCTTCTCTTTATCGAGCTCGTCACTTTCTTACTCTGGATTCTATTCTCTATCTCTATAAATCTCAAATCCGGTATGTATGGAATACTGTTGCCATACCTGGGGGGGGGGAGGTCTTCCAATGATGCCCTTTCTCTTTTAGACAAGGTGCAAAAACGCATTGTAAACATAGTTGGACCTGCTCTTGCAGCCGACCTTCAACCTCTGTCACATCGTCGTAATGTTGCTTCTCTTTCTCTTTTCTACTAATACTATAATGGGCACTGCTTGAAAGAGCTAGCGTCTCTTGTGCCATCTACTTAAATTCATTCTTATGTTACTCGTCATTTAATTAAGTCTCATCCTTTTTCTGTTACTGTTTCTAAGTGCTCCAAAAACTCTTATTCATCTAGTTTTTTTCCTCAAACATCAGTTCTTTGGAATTCGCTTCCTTTATCTTACTTTCCTGATTCATATAATTTGCAATCCTTCAAGTTGTCTGTCAATTGTTATCTTGCTCTACAATCTTCATCTTTTCTCTTCCAGTAACTTCCAACACTAATTAGTGGTTGCTTGCAGCCTTGTTGGAAGCGAAGATAAATAAAAAAAAAAAATTATCATTAAAATAATATATAAAATTTCTTTTTATGAAAGTAATCTTAATATGTTAAGCTAAAAAATGAATATATAAAATAATCATAGTTTACATCATTTATAATTATACATTTTTATAATTTTTTTCATTCATGTCAATTATATTTTTTTTCAACAAATCATAAAATTATTTCAAACGCTTTACCAAAATTTAAATGCTTTTATGAAATTTTAGTATATGCATTTTTCATTGTCAAACCAATTATTTGGTTTCACTAGGTTTGATAAATGATTATCTGTCATTTCTTGTTTTTCAAACCTCTGATTTTTTTTTCAACCGGTCAAGGGCAACAAGAATTTATATTGGGAAGTCTAAATAACAAATTCAATCATTTCAGGAGGTTGACTGTTGACCAGCCATTATTTTCCATGCTGAAGTATATAATGAATCATCAAAAGGTGAATGGAAAAAACGATGGGCTAACCACAAACAATTTCTCACAAATAAAAAACTGAAAAAATATATACAAAATATTTTCAACAAAATAACAATGTATTTTTTACATGATGATTGCGAACGCATAAACTTATAGTAGTAAACAATATATGGTTACTTCTTACTTTATCTTTATAGTTATTTTTTACTTTATCTAATATATATACAGGCCTCAGCGGAAAGCGAAAGCTTCAGCTCTCACTCTCATCCACAATCTCCTTAAATGGTTTACGGGAGCAATTTACGGCTCTCGCAAAAGTATAATTTTTTCTCTCAAGAGTATAATTATCGTTATAACTAAAATAAAACACAGTAGCACATTTTTATAAAACAAATTAATTACATAATTAATTGCAATGCTTTTTGAAAGGCATGGTTGTTGCAAAAAAAAAAATTAAAATAGAGCCACGATTGAAATGAAAATGCTTTTGATTGGACTCAGTGATGAATATAAAAACATTACACTCTGAATTATACTGATAAAATATAAATTTATTACACTCTAAATTATTGCATAATAATTATTGTTTTATTTAATAAATTATATATTTTATATATTAATTACTTTAATATACATTTCACTTTTATTGTGGAATTTTTAATTGTTGTAATAATTATTAAAATGCCTGCATTCTATTACAATAAGAAAATATAAACATTTTTTATAAGCAGTAAAACATTTTATAGTTCTTTGTCAAATTTTTTATCAAATAGGTAATGTTGTTAATAAATAAATAGATAGTTTGGGTGAAAATCTAAAGACAAGGCTATATAAAAGAATTTTTTTTCACAGCGCAATAAATTACAAATATTTATATATTTTTGTAACATTAACATCACAAATTGTAAACTTGTAACAAGTTTGAAACCAAATTTTGTTCGTTTGCTCCGCTCTTGCACTCATTTATTCCCGCTAAGGCCTCTCTCTCTCAATATATATATATATATATATATAGAAGAGGCCTTGGCGGGAGTAAATAAGTGCGAGAGTGGAGAAAAGTTCTCCTAAAACGAACATGACGAGCTAAGCGAAATATATATATATAAATATACATATAAATAAATATATATATATATATATATATATATATATATATATATATATATATATATATATATATATATACATATATATATATATATTATATATATATATATATATATATATATATATATATATATATATATATATATATATATATATATATATTATATTTATAATGAAATAACTTTCACACTATACCAATTTTTATATGTTATAAACATAAAAAATGTAATGACAAAAAAAAAATGTAATTTTAATTTGAGACATAAAAGCTTTAAATTTATTATTTATTACCTTGCGAATTTTAAATTTATTTTTTAATACCTTGCGAAGCAATTGTGAAACAACTTTAACTTGTTGCCCTCTAGTGAGAAGATATGATAAAGGAACTCCTGTTACACGAGCCATTTCCATATAATTAATAACGCACATTAATTTATCAAGAAGCCGCAATGGTAATATGGCATCTTTCATGCAGTACACAGCTAAACGACGCCTAGTTTGTTCATTACCATTCTAAAATAAAAAATTAGTGTTTATGAATGACTAGGGCTTTGGAGCAGCTCCAGAGCTGAGCCGGAGCTGGAGCTGATGTATTTCCTGTCGGAGCTGGCTCTGGAACCAGCTCCACCCTTTGATATTTTGAAAAATCAAATTTCCATAAAATTATTATTTTATGAGATTTTTTTTTTAATTTTAACAATTATGCTCATTAAAATATTTATTATTTCAAAATATAGAATTTTTTTATACTGTTAAAAAAAAAAAATTATTTTTTCAGAACTTAAATTTTAACCAATTATTTTGTGTAATATGTTATGTGGTTTTTATTAAAGATTATGATGAGTTACTTTAAACAATGCTTCTAAATAATGTAAATAATAAATTAAAAAGTTGTCCATAAAATACGTAAGCGTTTTTCTTTATCTCCCCTCTGCATTTTGCTTTACACTACTTTGAGTACTTTCCACCTCCCTAAAGTACCTACCTTTTTAACCTACCTACTCAAGATTTTATGATATTTTTTTTCTCCAAGGACTATTTGTAGAAGACATTTCAAAATCTATGCTTTCATAATTGATCCCTCTCCCAATTTGAGCATACGTACTTTATGGACAATCACATGATTTGTTTTAACGTTTTTAATTAGTTGAAACATTTTTAAAAAAAGATTTTAACAAGTGAGTTCCAAATAAAATAAAGAAATGATTTAAAAAATTTTTTTAAGATTGTTGATATTATTTTTATTTAGACTATCTTTTTTATTATTTTTTTTTATCTTCAAAATTTGTCATTTACTTTATTTTCGTAATTTTTTTTATAAAAATAGCTTCAAACTCAAACGATCCTGAAAGGTTTATAGATAAGTATATTTCATTTGATAAAACTACAAATCTGGTTACATGTAAGATTACAGAAAAGATAAACGATAAAGTAATTTGATGCACAATAGTTCTAGCAAGAAAGCAATATAAGGTTGTTTCAATTTTGGATAATGAGACACGCTGGGGTTCTACATTCCTTTTGTGCCTACTGTGTGAGCAATTTGCTGCAGGAGGTCAGATATTCTTTTTATACCCTGAAATATGGGATAAGTCAAGTCATCTTTGCAATCTTTTAAACATGTGACAGTTAAACTTCAAGGACATCACTCCAGGAGAGTTCCTAAAGAAATGGTTGAAATTGAAATCTTACCCAGAGAAGAACCAAGGACTATTTGTAGAAGACATTTCAAAATCTATGCAGAAACAAGAAACACCTTTTGATAACGATATATTTCTAACTGCAGTTTATGTTGATGCTAGATAAAGAAGAAAACTAGATAAAACGAGCAAAACAAGGCTTCAAAACAATAGCAGAAAAAATTTATAACAGAGATGCCAAGAATATATTAGAAAGTCAAGAAAAAAATATATAATGATGTGCAATTCAGTTTTTCTGTTTTTCAGTGTTTCAGTACTTCTTTCAGTTTTTAGTGAATCTAATTCTGATGGAGAAGAGGATGATTTTGAAAAAAGGGGCTTGGTAAAAAAAAAAAAAGGAGAAGTGTGATCAATTTTGATAAAAGTACTTTTAATACAAATTTTTTGGACGACTGGAGGATAATGGAAGAAATGGGATGTTTAGTAAACTCAGCAATAGAGGGAATTGAAGAATACAAAAAGCATGCAGAGTAGTCACTTGTATACCTACCTCACAAGCAAGTGTAGAGAGGCTATTTTCTGCTCTTAAGTTAGTATCGAGCGATCTGCGTTCTTCACTCAAACCTGATATATTAGATATTTTATTTTTAAGGATAAATCAAGATATATATATATATATATATATATATCAATATATATATATATCAATATATATATATATATATATATATATATATATATATATATATATATATATATATATATATATATATATATATATATATATATATATATATATATATATATATATAAAGAGAGAGAGAGAGAGAGAGAGAGAGAGATGTGACGCGTTTTTTTGGTTTTTGTTTTTTTGGTTTTTTTGGTCGTTTTTTTAGAAAAAAAACATAGGGGTCTGTTTTTTTGGTTTTTTTGGGAAATAATCAAAAATTCATTGTTTAAGTTACTAAATTTAACTTTAATGGCAATATCTTAATTCATATTTTAATTTCTGATTTAAATAGGACAATAAATACTGAAATTTACTGAATTAATTTTTGTTTTGGTATATTAACACGGTTAAAGGTTATCACGGTTGAAGCAGTCTTGTATAAAAACTTCTTTGATAATTTTATCTTCCTCAACTTTATCTTTACTGTTTTTAATGTATATTGACACAATAAACATTTATTTACATTTATTATATTTAATAAAATTTAACAACTAATGAATGAGACTTAGCATAATAAAGAGTCGAGAATAAGTTTTTGTTAATGGAACTAGAGGTAATAACTATTTTGAGCAGCCGCCATGATAGAATTTGTAGGAAAGAGAAAGAGATGCAACTTTACGACAATGGGAAAGAGGCTCAAGCTTAGCAGATAGAGCTTGTTTATAAGAAAAAGGGCATCATAAGAAGAACCAGCCCAAATATGACAACAACATTCCATACAGGGACAAAAAGATATTTGTAGAGGTAGAGAATGGAATCAAGAAAACAACGATAATGATAAAGGGATGCTAATTTAGCAATCAATTGTATAGTTTGTGTACATGAAAGGTTAGTAGCAAATAATATTCCAAGAAGATGTAAAAAAGAAGACTAAGTAAGAGGGTTACCATTAATTAATATAGGAATGTCAACAGTATTGTGGTAGTTGTTTGCAGTAAATAACTGAGTTTAGTTAGAAATAAAATTTATAAGCTAAAATATGTGAGCCCCAATCTGTTACAGAAGTAAGATAAGATACAAAATTGGCTGCCTATTCTAAGTGATCGAAAAGAGAAGACTTTTTGTCAAGACAGGAGTAAAAACTTTAGTCATCAGCAAAAAGAGCTACTATAGATGTAGGGTTGTCAGGAAGATCAATAATGTAGATAAGAAACAAAACAGACCAAGAACAGAACCTTGAGATTAACCCCAGAAGTTACTAAAAATAAATAAGTAGGCATTTGACGATGATTATAATAAAGCAGTTAGAAAGAAATGATTTAATAATCCCAGATACACAATTTGAAGTTTCAAGTCTAATTAAAGTTTAATTGTTCAATATTTAGTTCATACTTAAGCTCATTTTCTATTCAACAGGTCCCTAATATTGTTTAAATGGTCTCTAAAATGTTTACATTAAAAAAGTCAACTTATTACTCAAATAAAGAGAAACTTTATATAAATCTTTTCTGAATTAGAATCTAAAAATAGTTTAACACAAAAAATACTGACAAAAAATAGATTAAGACAAAAAATACTTTAACACTGAGTAGTGATTTTTAAAGCACCATAATATCTATATATACATACATATATATATATATAAAGAGAAATGGATATCTTTAAATTATTAAGTAAATTTTTTTTTCTTGTTGGTAATCAACAGGAAGAACATAAAGAATTATGATTAGGCTCTCCATACAGGGGGCAGAAATAAAGCCTTAGTCACCCATTAAACCTCTGAACCAAATTAGTAAAATAAAAAAAGATAAACAATTCTTTTTCCATAAGATGTCTAAAAATTGAACTTAAAAAACAGAGCATATTAAAGAATTTTGCAAGTGTTCTGATATAGTGCTATATGAAAATATTTAGATGAATAAATGTAATTAGAAAATAAAAATGCTGTTAAAAAATTAATTACAAATAAATAAATTATGAATCATCAGGTGAATGGGGTCTGGGAAACTCCGTAAATAATAATAATTAAAAAGTTTTTAAATTTCCCTTAAAACTAAGTTCAGTATAGGGCTTTTTTTTAATGTATTTACATTATCAAAATTAAAATGGTAACTTTTTTATAGAATAAGAATAGTTTTTATATATAATGAGAGTATCACAGTTGTTAGTACAATAAAACAGAAAATAAACATTTTCATACAGTATACCTAAATATATAACTAACTTAAAGCTAATTTAAATTTTTTATAAAATTTTTTTGTTAAACTGGTGTTTATACATCTAATTGTGCCTTTAATGGCCAAATACTAAAATTTATACTAGATTAAAGGAAAACTAGTCCTAAATTTATGTAAAAAAAAAACTGAAAGATTGTTTACAAAAAAGCAATACAACACCAAAAAAACCAAAAAAACCAAAAAAACACCAAAAAAACACCAAAAAAACCAAAAAAACGTCAAAAAACCAAAAAAACAAGTTTTTTTGACCCAAAAAAACGCCAAAGGAAAAAAACGCGTTTTTTTGCAACTCTCTCTCTCTCTCTCTCTCTCTCTCTATATATATATATATATATATATAAATATATATATATATATATATATATATATATATATATATATATATATATATATATATATATATATATATATACATATATATATATATATATATATATATATATATATATATATATATATATATATATATATATATAAATACATGTATATAAATATATATATATATATATATATATATATATATATATATATATATATATATATATATATATATATATATATATATATATATATATATATATATATATATATATATATATATATATATATATATATATATATATATATTAAAAATACAAAACAGTGTTAGCTTATATTGCATTAGCTTACATTAAAGTTGCAGCTTCAAATTTGTGCTCTTGTTGGCATTCAATGCTAACTCATTTTCTTTATTTAATAGTTTTAAGGATGATGTAATGATAAGATATTTTTTAGTAAAACAAAGATTGCACAGCATTTCTCTCTATGTAAATGAGTCATTTCTATCAATAACTTTCCACACAAAAATATGAATCAAAAATCCAGTTTTTTTGATTTCTAAGAAACTAGATCTATTTTTTTGTTTATGATAAATTATTAGTATTTAGTAACTGTTGCAGAGGACATGTAAAGTTTGCTGGCAGCTACACATTGGATCAATTATACTGGGAGCATTAGATAATATTTTTTTGTGTTAAATAATAATACTAGCTGTCCGGACTTGTATAATATGGGTCTTGGTAAGTCTATTAAACACCGACCATTTCTATACTTAATAAATTCTACGCAGCTGTTATCTTTAACAAAGATAACAGCTGCGTAACATTTCATCCGGTATTTTTGGAAACTTTAGGAAAATATAACCTTTTGATCAAGACAATATTTATTTAAAAAGCAAAAGAGGAAACAGACATGGGTCAAGAAACCTAGTTATGTTAGCTCCATCTGTTTAATATTCTTATAGGAAATTTTCTGTAACAAACTCCTAATAGATTTTTTCAATCAAGCTGTTTATAACACCAGCTTTGCAAATTATCATTAAAATATTGAAAATAAAACATTTATTATTAAAAACATCATGTACAAACAGTTTTTAAAGAAACAAGAATTTCTTATGATACATTAGAAAATTAAAAATAAATTAAATTTATATTAAAAGTTATAAAAACTAATATTATAAGTTTAAGTGACAAGAAAACATTAATTATGAATTTGTTTTAAACAAATTCAATATAATAATTCTACAATTATGTCAAGACATATATAAAAAGATTTATTTGATCATTTCAGATATGATTGTTGTATTAACATGGTGCATTAGAACAAATAAAAAAAATATTACCTGCAAATCAGAAATAATGGCATGATGTACATCTTCTTTTTGTTCTTTTAAAAAATGATAGCTAACTGAATTTAAAGTGTAAGACCGTAGCTTGTAATCCCGCAATAAAATATGTAAAAGATCAAATTGAACAACTCCTGTAGTGTTAATGACTTTATTTTCACGCTTGCCATATGCACGAGATTGAAACACAGTACTTGATATAGTTGTCTTTTCACTCAATATTCGACCAAGATAAGAAAAACTTGGAACATTAAGCACCTTAGCTCGATTAAGAAGGTATGGAAAATCAAAGTTAACTATATTGTATCCAGTTATCATATCCGGATCAACTTCATTTACAAAGTCAGACCATGCCTAAAGAAAAAAGTTAAAAAAAAACAACCCAGTCTTTTTTCAAAAAATAAATTATGTTTAAAATGAATGTAGGATATAAATGTATGTATGTATGTATGTATGTATGTATGTATGTATGTATGTATGTATGTATGTATGTATGTATGTATGTATGTATGTATGCAGGACCAGCCCGAACAAATGCAGCCCAAACAAATGGGCCTGGTGCAGGATAACCTTATGAGGCCTTAATATTCTAGTACATATAAGTACACATATTAATATTATAGTAATTTATTATAATAGTACATATATGTACACATATTAATATTATAGTAACTTAATATTATAGTACATATATGTACACATATATTTTTTACACATATTATTTACATGTGCACTATATTTTAGTACCCATTGTACAATGGTTCTAAAAATAATATAAATAAACTAATATTTTAGTCATCAAAATTTTCTTTAATAAATCAAATATAGAAAAATAGAATTATATTGAAAAAATATAGATATATTTAATACAAAGAATTCCAAATTTATCTCCTTGCGTGCAATGTGCTTTAAAGCAAATTCAGAGATGATACTATTGTAACTTAGATTTTTGGCTATTCTGATGCTATGGACAAAATTTCTAATGAAATTTTGTCCATAGCATCATAACCTCAAATAATTTTTTATTAACTTTAATCTTGTGACTGTAATTGGTAAAGTTGGTATAATTTTAAGCGCAGTAACGAAAATTGGATATAACTCAAATAGATTATTTTATAACAAATATTGCAGTATTTGTAACATTCTGAAGTTGGAAGGCAAAACTCAATGACAGATTTTGATTTCATTACATTATTCAACCACATCAATATCATCTTGCAATGTCATATATAAATCTTTACAAATATTTCAGAAGAAATATATATATATATATATATATATATATATATATATATATATATATATATATATATATATATATATATATATATATATATATATATATATATATATATATATATATATATATATATATATATATATATATATATATATATATATATATATATATATATATATATTTGTGCGGCCGTGGCGCAGTGGTTAGAGCACTTGCTTTATAAGCAGGAGATCTAAGTTCGAAACAAGCTTTAGACATATTTCACGTCACGGTAAGGAAGGAGACATGAACTTCCTGGTTAAATACACTTCCGCGATGCTCTGTGACAAGTCCGTTAGGACTTCTTGGGGCACTTAAATAAAAAAATTAAAAAAAAATAATCATGTTTTTAATATTATTTGAACTATATAAAAAATCATACAATGTTTCATGTTCTTTGTAAGGTTTAAATCTTCTGGTGAATGAATTAATTGCATTATCAACAATGACAAGAAAGTATTGAATTCTAAAATACTTTTCACTCAATTAAATTTTTTTTACAGTTCTTAGTATCTTAAATTCAGGCATCATTTGTACTTCTTCAGCAATTTTCTTAGCTATTATTATGGAAAAGTTGAATCCCAATTCACGGTATTTTTCAAAAAATTTAAAAAGCTTTTTCTATAACTATAACAAAGTTATTTATAATAAAGTTTTCTATAACTATAATAAAGTTTTTTAAAACTATAATAAAAGCCTATTCGCTATGCTAATATCCAAACCGGAATGTTGAAAAATCTTGCTTATGATATTTACCTCATTCAATATGGCATACAAAATTATCACACCTGATATAAATTCATCTCTGGTATGTTCAAGAAGGTGTTTGAAAGCTATAGAAAATTGTGGTATTTGAAATGTTACAGATTTTATGCTTTCCAGACGGCATTCCCATCTTGTTTCAAATATCTATTCTATATAAGTTTATGAAATCTATTATTTATTAATCAATTCAGGTGGCCTATGGTTATCTTTTACAACATCCTGAACATATCTGCTGTTAATGCTTTTGTAATTTTCATTTTGTTTTCAGACATCCCCATGTTGTTCTAATCGTTTAAAAAAAAGAACCTTTTTCTATTGTAAATTATAAAAATAGAACATTTTTGTATTTATTTATAAACAGAATAGTAGAAATTTTAAAAATAGTTTTTATCATAAATTATAAAATTAGAACACTATTAGAGGAATGTCAAAAAGTTTTGTTTGAATAAAATAACTTTGATCTTTATATAAGTTTTTATATTAATTTAATATTATAAAGCTTGTTTTTTAATCAAAAACATAGGGTTTTTTTTTTTATTCTTTTGTAAATGAAATACACAATATGGTCAAAAAACATATATAGTGTGCTTGCGTTTATAGAGTGCATGCGTTTTTAAAATATTGTTACTTTATTTATAATATACATGTTTTTCACATAAATCGAAAAAATATGCCAATTTTGTTATGCCTGATGAAGTCCAAATGCGATGGGCCTTTCAAAGCACAGAGCCTTCGGAATCGCAGGGCCTTGTGTAGCTGCACTGCTTGCACCGCTCTCTGCTGGCTCTGTATGTATGTATATATGTATGTATGTATGTATGTATGTATGTATGTATGTATGTATGTATGTATGTATGTATGTATGTATGTATGTATGTATGTATGTATGTCTGTCTGTCTGTATGTATGTATGTATGTATGTATGTTAAGTAGTCTCCTTGACTGTAGAGGCCTTCTTGGCCTTGGGAAAGTGAATTTACATAATTTTTTTTTAAAATGCATGTATGAATTTGTGAATGTATGTATCAGGCTTGGACAGAAATGGTGTGCAAAGGCACGACCACGCTTTTTTTTTTTTTTTTACAATTTGACCACAGCTGTCTTGATAATTTAACATTTTAAATGCAATTAATAAAATGCTACACTATGAACTTTTAATCTTTCCTATTGTTTTTATTTTGTGCGAAGGCTTCAAATTAAATTAAAAATTTATCATAATGATTGTTTAAATAAACGCATTACGCGCAAATGAACAAATGTTATGCTTAAATTTTTTTTATATAGACATATTTTTTATAAAAAATATAAATGTCCAAAACTATTTTTCCATGTTTTTCTAAAAATCTTTTAAAATAATTTTTTTAAAAGGAATCACAAAGTGCGGAAACAAGTTGTGTTTATTTTAAAGAGAATGATAATTAAAATGTTTGGGCAGAATTTTTTAAAGTAAAACAAAATAATAAATGTATAGCAACGAAAACAAATTTTGTTGTTTTACTCAAAGCTCGCCGTCTCCATGTTAGCCAATATCTCAAGTCTTTAAAATATACGCCACAATCTACAGACTTCATAATTTATTCAAGTGCACTTAATTTCAACAAGTTTTAGTAAATGAGGTCATCGTAAAATTTTGATAAGAAATCTAAAAACTCTTTTTTTTTTATCAAATTAAAGAATTTTTTAAAATTATTGATCATAAATTACAAAAAAATATTTTAGTTTCTTAGATTTTATTCATCATAAACTACTGTAGAATCTCTTTAGTTATTTTATTTTTAAAATTTCGCAAAGTTTGCATTAAAAATATAAAATATTTCAGATATTTTCAGCTGGTCTATTGCTATAAATTATTTTTGTGTTATATTTATTATTAAATGATTATTATCTTTATTAAGATTCTATTTAAAAAATTGTTTTATATTATTTAACACTACCGCAATTCGCTGACTTTTGAACTATTTACTTTTATTATTATTATTTTTAATCATTCTCTTTAAAATAAACACAACTTGTCTTCACACTTAGGGATTCCTTTAAGTTTCCTAAAATGATAAATTATATATCCTGTTGCAATGAAATGACTTAATTGCTTTAATTATTATCTTTATTTATTTTTTCTTTTTCCAGAAAGAACCACTAAACTTTTTTTTAACTTGAGTTACTAATCAACAGCCATATTCACATCTCTTTGTTAAGCTCAACAGAACTTTTGTCTGAAATTTCATTACAATATTTTTAAGTAAAGAAAAAACAAAAACTTTACTTAAATTTGTTCAAATAAAACTAAAACCAAAATAAAACATTTATATTTAAATTATTAATATTATTAATAAAGTAGTTAAAAATAAATTTTTGACTAGCGCTCTTTTATGTTTAACGGAACAATGAGGATTCGACCTAAGAGCATGAAATGATTAAAAAGACTATATATTTTTTTTTTTGCAACTTTTCAGAAAAAATAAATGTTTATACAATTTAAAAAAAAATCATTAGTGTGTTCAGCAATACCACTCGATTGAACGCCATTAATGTCCAAGCCTGATGTGTGTGTATAAATTTATTTATGTACTTATATACATACTATTGGACTAATAGAAAAACACTATGTGTGTGTGTGTATGTAACAGTTAATTATTGCTCTGTTCTTTTCAGAACATTTAGCACTCTTTTTTGTAGAACACATTTAAAATTATTTGTATACAAAAAAAAAAAATTGTTTCGCCCTTTAGGGCTTATCACTGTGATGTGATACTGGAGGTGTGTAAACACACCAGCTCACAACTAATTGGCAGATCAATGATACTTGTGGTGCTTAAATATTTGAAAAAGTACAAACTCGCATAATTACTAGTAACTACTTACTAGTAGTATACAGATGTTACTAGATGACTACTCTATATGTCAGTGCTTGAACCCTTAGTACTTTTTAAAATATTATTTGTGGATTTTTTTCACAATTCTGTGTAGGATTTATGATGCAATTCTGTGTATATATACCTCACAAGTCTCATTAAACTGATAAAAAGGAGAACTGGTATGCTTACACTTCTTCAGTATCATATCATTTCACTAATTAGCCTTTAAGGGCAAAATGTGTTTGTGATTCCGATATGCACTGATTTGGTTAGACAATCATATTCATTTTTTTAATGTTCTATTATTTTACTATTATTTACCAACTTTTTGTATTAGTAGTTTCTATTCATTAGGTGAGTGCTGATATATACCAGTGGTGTACACTGGACTTTCAGATGTTCGAGTTATGACACTTACAGGCATTGTCCCAACTCCAAACTTTTGTATGTTCATGTTTATGTCAAATGAGAATGTTTTGCAAAGAGTTGTGGTGATTGAAGTTTGGGGACAAAAAACCCCCAATTTTTGGGTCCACCCAGCCCTTAAAGAGGGAGCAATAAGTTTATAAAATAGTTTTTTTAGTATTTTTATCTAAGTTTATATTCATCAACAAATTCCAAATTTCATGCAATAACTTCTTAGTGTTTAGTTTTTATGACTTTAAAATAAACTTTATATGGTAATAATTTTTGAAAAATAAGAGATTATTGCATGAAATTTGAAATTTGTTGATGAATATAAACTTAGATAAAAATACTGAAGAAATTATTTTGTCAACTTGTCGCTCCCGCATTAAGGGCTGGGTGGGCCCAAAAATTAGAGTTTTTTTGTCCACAAGCTCTAATCACCGTAACTCTTTGCGAAACATTCTCATTTGACACAAGCATGAACATACAAAATTTTGAAGTTTGCACAATGCCTGTAAGTGTCAAAACTCAGACATTTAAAAATTCAGTGTACACCACTGTATACATATATATATATATATATATATATATATATATATATATATATATATATATATATATATATATATATATATATATATATATACATTTAAAATAATTTCATAATATCAATACTTTTCAGGCTTTTGAAACAAATAAAATCTTAACACATCAAAAACAAAGGGTTTTTCATAAATTGTTAAAAACAAAGGGTTTTTCATAAATAAAGGGTATTCATAAATTGTTATTTTTATATTTGAAAGGGTAAGCTGACAAAATACTTGCTCAGCTGTGCAATAAATTATTATATTACTTAATAATTTTTAACATTCTAGAGTTTTCTGGTGGAATAGTTGGCTATTCACCATTAAATATGATTTTAGTTTTTTCTTATAAATAGTTGTATTTTTTTCATTTCGAATGATACTTGGATGAATATTCCAAAGTGTAGGACCATAGTGGGATACCCCCAATCACCAAAACGATTGCTGGATTTTGTTTCTTTTAATTTCAGAGTTCTCTCTGACGTTGAGAAGTGAATCAAATTACACAATTATGCTGGTGCTTCCTGGATAATAGACTTGTGCATTATTAATAAAACCTTGAAATAAATTCCTTCTCTAATTTTAAGCCAATGCAAATTGATAAATACCTGGTCATTTATTTGATTTTCTATTCTGGTTTTAAATACTAATCTTACTGCACAATTTTGAACAGACTGCAGTTTTTTTAATAGTGACTTCTCAATTCTAAAGTAGAGGGGGTTGCAATAATCTAGCTGTTAAAAAATTAATGAACATACTACGGTGCAAAAATCTTTATGCGATAAGAATTGTTTTGTTTTGGATATTTTGCTGATTATATTGTAACAAATTTTCATTATCTTATTTATCTGTGTTTTTCAAGACAGTTCATTGTCAAATATCACACCCAAACTTTTTGTGGAGTCAACAAATCTCATGCATTCCTTGTTAACAAAAGTACCTTTAATAATATCTTTTTGAATGTTAGGTGGTGCCATAATTAATATTTTTGTTTAGCATATTAACAACTTCATTTTCATTATACTCTCTAGGTAAACCACTGATGATAATTTTTTGCATGTTCAATTGATATGATTTTACTTTTATTTGATTGTTTTTGAGAGAATTCATCAATTGGTCTTTAGATTCCTCTGAGTTACATAATTGGACAAAATCCCCTGATTTATTATGATACAAATTTTTTAATTGAATATTATTATTCATAACTATGTTTTCAATTATATCCATGTTATTTTTGTTAGTTTTTTCATCAGATATTTTTCCGATAACTAAAAAAGAGGCTGGCGTTGAAGTTTTCACTGCATTTAATCTTTGTTAAACCATAAATTATCTTTTTCCGATTTGGTGTCACTTGAGTTTTTGTTTAACAGTTGTTTGTATTTCATTGAGCTGAGTTTTGATATCAGTAACATTACATTCTAGAGTGTTCAGCCTCAATGTTTTAAATTTAGATAAATTTATTTCTAGGTTGGTTAGACATACATCACAAAAGAACAGAAAATTTTTCGGAGTTAAAGGGAGAAGGAAATTTGAAACTATGGTTTTGCTGGCTACTTTATCTTCTTTTGGAATAGATGGGCAAACAACGTTAAACTTGGATTTGCATACAAAACATTAAACATTTTCTGGTACTGATGATGAATTTTCACAGGCAGGACACAAACCATTGTTATCTAATTTATTGGTAATTGACATTCTTTGGTTTTCTTCTTTGATGTGTTTTTTATGGGAAAGGACCACTTCTTAAAGAGAGAGCTACCACCTTTTTAGCAGTGGATTATCTCCCGGTCGTGATATATTATACAGGCTTTCCCTTGTTTGTCCACGCATAGAATAAATTTTTCTGACTAACTGACCACGTTTTATTATTATGTGTTTCAAGAATTCGCGCCAAAACAAAGCTAAACGAAAATACCGCAAAAATGCAAGCAATCTTAAAGTAAATAACAGAAATCTGTTTGTGCTTTAAAATTAAAAAATTAATGTATATTATTAAAAAAAAAAATTTATCTATATTTCATTTATTTATTTTTTTAGGGTGGTAGTTATTTTAGCTATGAAAAATCAAATCAATAAGAAAAATCAAATCAAAAAGAAAAAGATTAATGTTTAAAGAAAATAAAAGGACCTTTTAATGTAAAATTTGTTTATGACTTTTATCAGTCAGTAATACTTTAAAATTCACGATAGAACTATAAACAATTTTTAAATGTTTCGTAAATACATTTAAATGTTTAAATGTATTGATTTAAATGTTTGAATGTATTGATACGCAAGAAAACATGATTGCTATTTATAAGTAAAATATTTTGTTTTTTTTTAAATGAAAGAAAATTTGATTGTCAAACGATTGAGTTGCTTATTTTGCAATCATTAAATGACATTGTGAACGAGTGTTAATATATAATAATGTCCCGAAGGAACTGTTTTCGTAACAATGACAACAGAAGCAATGCAATTATTTTTTTAACTTCTTTCATAATTACAAAATTATTCAATTGAATAATTTCAATGTAATAAAAGGCGAGCATTGACTCAGTATAATCAGTTTAGAATAAGTCGAGAAAGAACTTTTTTCACATTAAAATTTATTTTCTTGTCAAAGTATTGGGGAATAAAGTCAACGCCTTTGCATAAACCTTCGTAAAAACTAAAGTAAATGAAAAAGTTTAACCAAATTTGTCTAGCGTAAATAATGAATCAGTTTTTTAATACATTGTCTGATATAGTTCATGAATAAATTACGTATCAAGTCTTTTTATTTTTGTAAAAACTTTATGACTTATTGTCATCTTTTCCTTGACTTGTATCAAATTTCGTAGCTGAAAATAGCAACCCTTAAAAAAGCAAACAAAAACAGTATAAAAATTTTGAAAAAAATGTTCAAGACTTTTTTTTTTTTTTGTTACAAGAATTTTTTTTTTTATAATCAAAATATTTTTCTTACATCCAATTTCAATTTTATACTTTGTTTAGACTTCGTTTTCTTTTTTTTAATATTACTTTTTATTCTCTGTGGATAATTTCCGCTTTCATACAAAATATTGCCGCGGTCACGTTTTCTGAAAAATTTATTCTATGCGTGGACAAACAAGGCGTGCAACCGCACGCCTTTCCTGGGAAAGCCTGATTATATATTATTATTACCTAAAACTTATTAACACAAATAGAACTGTTTGTTTTTTGTGTTTTTTTCCGTAAAAGTAAAAAAAACTCATGGCGTAAATATTGACTTTATTTGAAGGTAAAAAATTAAATGTTATCAATAGTTTACAATATTTTTTTTATTTACGCAAATTATTTCTAGTCTGCACATAGCCCTGAATAAAAAGAAAGGAATATTTCAAATTTCAAATTCCAATTGTATGTATGTATGTATGTATGTATGTATGCATGTATATATATATATATATATATATATATATATATATATATATATATATATATATATATATATATATATATATATATATATATATATATATATATATATATATATATATATATATATATATAGACACACACACACACACACACACACACTCACACACACACATACATACAATTGGAATTTTAAAGGTAATTTGAAAAATAAAATACCTTGAAAAGATCACTTTCATTCTGATAAGTAAGAACTTGACTTCCAACAATAGGGGCACAAGTATCAAGTGTAAAGACATTACGTATAAATGGTTCTTTTTCACCTTGATAAATAACCATATTTGCGATTTGAATAACTTTATCTTTTTCAGGCTCTGGAAATATACCTTTGCGCCCAGCACACTCGATGTCAAAACTAAGAATTCTTATTGGTGCAATTTTATCCCATTGACCTAAAGTAGATTTTCTTAAGTTATTCTTTGTTACTGTTAATACATTTATTATTTAATATCTCATTTATTATTTATTATTATTAATATATATTAAAAGGTCTAAATTTATAGAAATAGAAACCTTCTGGTTCGTGACTAATGAACTTATCAAAAGCAACATCTACTTCTATTTGGCAACGTGACTTCATTGATGAACCTTTTCGCACTTGATATGAACCTTTTGGTAATTCAATCCAATTGCATCCAAATGTATTGGTATCAACCATAAATCGAACCTATAAAAAATACTATAATACTTTTTATGAAAAAAATTTTTTGCTTTAATTCTAAATCAAAAAAATAAAAAATGATCAGAATATGTAAAATAATTTCTAAAAATTTCTAAAACTCTAACAAAAGTTCATATTCTTAAGTCATAACTTCAACAACAGTAATAGTATATCACATTTTCAAATCATTGTACTTTCAAATATTTTAATGATTCACAAATAAAATATGATCAAATGTTTGAATGTTCAAACCCAGTTCCAACAACTATTTTCTTATTTTTTTCAAAAAAAAAATATTTCTTACAAAAAAGAGTTTATAAAATAAATTTTGTTTAGGATTTTTTGTAATTTATGTTATGCTTTTTCTTTAAGAGAGAAAGTGAAAGATTTTCTAACACAAGGAACAAGTAGAAAACTTGTGATCACTTCATCACAAATGATTTGAGAATTTTATATATCTTAATTTACGCAAAAAAATATCAAATATTTAATTCAGTGGCATTACTAATGGCGAGAAACTTTTTTAATGTTTTTTTTCTTCTAAAAAAGTTTTGGAAAATCAAAAAATAAAGTTAAAAAAAAATAGATAAGTATTAAATGACAAAAAAAAAACAAATTAATCAAAATTGTCAAAATATTTAGCTAGTCTCAAAAATCAAATTTGTGTTAAACAGTCAATAAAAAACACAAAAAAATACAGTCTGTTTACACAGTTGTTATTAACAAACCTAAGATAATGGTTTTATATTCAAACCAAAAGGATTTTAGACTACCAATAATTTGAAATAAAGTCTTTACAATCAGAAGTTTATTTATCAATAAGGAAGGTTTTCTTGATTTGTTAATAACAGGAGGCTCTTATTTAGCAAGTCAAAAATAACTCCTATTTATAACTACATTAATAATCAAAGAATAAAATATTAAAAAAAAAAAAGGCTTGACTTTTAATGATTACAGATCAGATCAAAATTGCAGATTACATCGAACAAAAAATTTTGTTTTTTTGATGCTTTTTATAATAGGAAGTGATGAAACGCCACTTCCAGGTGATGAAACATCATTTTTTGTAACAAAAAAACTATTGACTTAAAATATAACAAAATCTGCTCATACAAAGATTCTATTAAAAAAAGAAAATAAGGAAAAAGTAGAAAAGTTTAATGCTGAATTGCATGAAGATGTTGATTGTTAAAAAAAATGCTTACTTTTCTTTATAATTGACATGTTTTGTTTTCCTTTATAATTGTTCTCTTTTATAATTTTATTATTTAAAGACATTTTGGATGAAATGCTAAAACTACATACAACACATTAATTTAAAAAAATTTTATTTTGAAAATTTAAACAAATGCGACAAAATTGCATTGAATATAGGGTATAGGGTATTAGATTGCAACAAGTGGCCAAACTATATTCACCCAATTTTGCATATATCTTTTGCACCTATTGTGACAAGTTTGTTGCTTTTTAACTGCTTCTGTAAACTTTTTTTTAAAAGAGAATCCAAAATCACCTAATCAGGCAGTATGGAAACATTTAGAGTGCTAAATAGCTTTTTTAAGAACCCCTATTTAAAGAGAATCAACACCATCCATGAAAAACCACTTATATGTTTTTGTTCAGATATTGCACTAAGGGTGGAATTCCTAGTAAAATAGTAAATAGGTTATCAAACCAAGAACCATTAAATATTTTAAAATAATTTTCACACATACTTAAAAAAAAAAATTCAAAAGTATTTTTTTCTCCTTTTCTGGATTAATGTAACTTACAAATAATAAAGATTTGTTTAACGCCATTAGTTTAACCATTAATAGCTAATAATACTAATAGTTAAACCAATAACTTTATTGAATATGTTTATCTATTATATCATTTTGTTTTTTATAACTATAAATAAAAAAGGTTTTAGGAGAATAAATGTCAGTGATCTATACAGTTCAAACCCATAAAAATGATTTGAAGGTAAAGAATATCTTACTAGGTATTAAGATAGTCTGAATATTTTTTTACTTATAAAAAATCCATTTGTTGCTTAAAAATTGTATCAAACTAAAAAATGCCTACTTCTGTAGTAACATGATTTAATGCATTAGTCTTTGCAGACTGAATTAAACAAGAAAAAAATATTATGCAAATTTTTTTTTTTTTGTTTTTAGTTTTAAATTAATTTAGTATACCATCAAATTGAAAAAATATAATTATAATGCAGAAGTTTAATTTTAATCATAAACAATTTAAAAGTTTATAAAAATTTGAGATTTTTTAACCCTGAATAGATGTTTTGTTAACCCTCTTAAAAAAGCAAAACTAAAAATTTTTTGAATAATCTTTTTTTAATTAGGAAAAAAAGGAAAAATTTATAAGTAATGTAAGTAAAAACCTATTTCCACTTAGTGATGCATAGTACATTGAAAGGTTAAAAAATTTAGTAACTTGTAATTTTAAAATATTCAAAAATATTTGCCTAACATGCGAAAGCGTTACTTAAGGAGAAAAAAATGCAATATTATTATACGAAAAAATGTCAGAAGAGAAGCTCTGACATCTTCTACAATATTAGATAAGAGCTAACGCTTTCTACAATATTGAATAAGAGTCAAAACTCTTCTACAATATTGGATAAGAGTCAGTAGATAAGAGAAGAATAAGTAATTTTGTTTATGATCTTACTACACAGTTTAAAACCGCATTTAAATTAATTAAAGACTTTTTTTTCTTATTGTTACTTTTATTTTTTCTGACATCTTCGCTTCCGACAAGACTGCAAACAACCTGTATTAGAGTTTGAAGTTCCTGGAAAAGAAAAGATGAAGTTTACAGAGCAAGAAAACGATTGACAAACAAATTAAAAGATTTCAAGTTATATAAATCATGAAAGCAGTATAAAGGAAGCGAACCCCAAAGAACTGATGTTCGAGAAAAAAAACTAGACAAGTAAGTTTTTGGAGCACTTAGGAACAGTCACAGAAAAAGGATGAGACTTAATTGAATGTCGAATAATAAAATTTAGTAGATACCACAAGAGATGCTAATTCTTTAGGGCAGAGCCCATTATAGTACTTGTAGAATGAGGAAGAGAAGTAACATTACGATAATGTGATAATGGTTGGAGGTTGGCTGCAAGAGAAGGTCCAACTATGTTTACAATGCATTTTTGCACCATGTCTAAAAGAGAAAGGGCATCATTAAAAGCTACGCCCCAGATATGGGAACAGTATTCCATACAAGGCCAGATTTATAGAGATAAAGAGTAGAATCTGGGATAAAAGTGTCAAGCACAATTAAGAGATGCAACCTTAGCAGATGTTAATTTTGCAATGGATTTGATATATGGTATCCAAGATAGATCGGAAGTAATAGTTAATCCTAGAAGATAAAGAGTAGATGAATCACTGAGTACATTACCCTTCATAAATATAGGAAGATCTAAACTATTATGATAACAATTGACTGAATAAAATTTGGTTTTATCTGAATTAAAGGTCAACTGCCATTGTGAGCTCAGTCCTGTAACAAAAGGGCTTAGTCAATTTGATTAGAAATAACATCTAAAAAAGTGCAGTCTTGAGATAAATGAGAACAATGTAAAATAGATCCTCAATTTAAATTGAGGATCTAAGAAAGTATTTTACAAACAAGATGTTAGACTATGATTATGAAACATATAGCATAATAACAAAACTTTTTTTTTGATTGGAGATTCCAAATAAAAAACAACAATTTATAGTGTTCTGGAAAAACGTTATTTTGAATAGTAAAAAATTACTTAGGTATGTTAGGCCAGGTAAGTAGTTATATTTTAATACACTAGTTCTGTTTAAACAATATATACACTATTTCAAAAATAACAAACCTCAAAATCAATATTACTTTCATAAGTATGACAACCTCCTGGTCCAAATATAAATAAACCACCTTCTAAAATTCGTTTTGCTGGTGCAATAAGTTTTTGCAGAGCAACTGTGATACGAAGAAACAAACGCTTTTTGTTAAAATTATAACCATATATACTTGCTTTCATCACTGGCTCAACATTTAGCACAGCCTAAAAAATATTAATTTTGTAAAACCTAAATAATAAAAAAATAGGTAAGTTGGTGTAAACAAATACTATTAATATAAAAGCTAACATGAGAAATATCATTTTTAGATTTCATATCAGCAAGAATAGCTTTGTCTAAGCAATCACGATACTGGCTACATTTTTCTTCCTTAAAATCTTGTGGAGCCACAATATAGAAGTAAGGAACAAACCCATGAATATGACAAAGAACACTGTTACCTTGCATTGTAACACCAAAAAATCGCACAATCTGCGTAGGACCACTAGTTGGTCCAGGCATTCCTTGGAGAGCTGATCCTAAATATAACAAAAATATCAACTTTTATAT